GCCACAGACCCTTAGTAACAAGGGACTGGAGCCGGTGTGTGTCCAGCCCTTGCTGTGCGGCGGGCGCTGTGTGGTAATCAGCATGTCACTCATAGACACTCATCTAATCCTTTCCACATCCCTAGGACATAGTCACACAAACATCTCCATTTTACAGGTGAGGATGTAGAGCCCTAGAGAGCTCGAGTCACTGCCTCCGGATCACGTGGCTCCTGAGAGTTGGGAGCTGGGATTGGAATCCCACAGTCAGGTTCTAGAACCCATGCCCTGGCCCTATAGTTCAGCCTCAGCCCGAATCATCATCATCATATTAACGGCGGTAGCAAGCAGCATTTCTTTCTTTTCCTTTTTTTTTTTTTTTTTGAGACGGAGTCTTGCTCTGTCGCCCAGGCTGGAGTGTAGTGGCGCGATCTCGGCTCACTGCAAGCTCCGCCTCCTGGGTTCACGCCATTCTCCTGCCTCAGCCTCCCGAGTAGCTGGGACTACAGGCACCCGCCGCCATGCCCAGCTAATTTTTTGTATTTTTAGTAGAGACGGGGTTTCACTGTGTTAGCCAGGATGGTCTCCATCTCCTGACCTCGTGATCCTCCCACCTCAGCCTCCCAAAGTGCTGGGATTACAGGCGTGAGCCACCACGCCCGGCCAATAGGCAGCATTTCTTAAGCATTTACTGTGCCCTGGGTACGGTTCCAAGTGCTTTGTCAACTTGTTTAATCCTTATGACAACCCATCGTCTGGCCCCCTCGTGTGGATCAGGAAGCAGTCCAGAGTGGAGGAGGGAGGAGACTGAGCAGGGTGTCGCTGGGGCTGGACCGCAGGAGTCTCCATCCCGCTTCTGCAGGTGGATAGTGACAAGGGGATCTCCCTTCGCTTCCCTCGGTTTATTCGAGTCCGTGAAGACAAGCAGCCGGAGCAGGCCACCACCAGTGCACAGGTGAGGCCCTGGGAAGCAGGGCTGGGCCGCCCAGCTGCTTGGCCCTACCAGCTTTTTAGCGTGGTGGCCTCTGGAACCTTGTGGAAGTGGGGACAGCCAGGGAGCTTCTGACCACCCCGTCCCACCCTGTCTCCGCAGGTGGCCTGTTTGTACCGGAAGCAAAGTCAGATTCAGAACCAACAAGGCGAGGACTCAGGCTCTGACCCTGAAGATACCTACTAAGTCCTTGCCCTCCTAGGGCCTGGGTACAGGGCATGAGTTGGACGGAACCCAGGGTTATTATTGCCTTTGCTCTTGAGCAAATCTGCTGTGGCAGGCTATGGTTTTTGAGAGTCAGGGGAGGGGTGTGTGTGTGAGGGGGGTGGCTTACACCTGAGCCTGGGATTCATCCCATCATTTCTTTCAATAAATAATTATCGGATAGCTACTTTGTGACAAGGTCTGTGCTGGGCTCTGGGGGCAAAGCTCTCATGGGTGTCACTTGCATAGCATGTAGCAGTGGCCTAGGAACTGCCAGAGCCAGCACCAGCCATGGAACTGCCTGTGGTGGTGGGTATCTTCCGTAACTGCTCTGTGCAGTGTGGCCGCCACTGGCCACCTGCAATGCCCGAGCACTTGACAGGTGGCCAGCATGACAGAGGATGCGAATGTGTTTTGTTTTGCTTTGTTCTGTTTTTGTTTTGAGACAGAGTCTCACTCTGCTGCCCAGGCTGGAGTGCAATGGCGAGATTTCAGCTCACTGCAACCTCCACCTTCCGGGTTCAAGTGATTCTCCTGCCTCAGCCTCCCGTGTAGCTGGGATTACACTCATGTGACACCACGCCCAGCTAATTTTTGTATTTTTAGTAGAGATGGGGTTTCGCTATGTTGGCCAGGCTGGTCTTTAACTCCTGGCCTCAAGCGATCCACCCTCCTTGGCCCCGCTAAGTGCTGGGATTACAGGCATAAGCCACCCCGTCCAGCCATGCCAAATATTTTATTTAATTGTATTGGACAGCAGTAGTCTAAAATCTTTACATCCATATGTTTTTTAACTTGTTTAACCTTCCAGCCATCCCACGGGGAGGTACCATCATGAACCCTGTTAAGGAAGACAAATGCAGTTTCTTAAAATAAGCCACATGTATTCTCTTACAGTTCCAGAGGTCAGAAGTTCAAAATCAGTTTTATTGGGCTAACGTCAAAGTGGTGGCAGGGCCGGTTCCTTCTGGGAGCTCCAGGGGAGAAACTGGGTCCTTGCTTTTCCCAGCTTCCAGAGGCCACCTGGTTCCCAGGCTCATGGCTTCTTCCACTGTCCTCAAAGCTAGCAGCGTCCCGCCTCAAATCTCTCTCCTGAGGTCATCAGGTCACCTCCTCTCCTCCATCAGATCTCTGCCTCTCTCTTCCAAGCACTCAAGTGGTTCCATTTAGGGCCCCCTGGATGATCCGGGATAATTTCATTTCAGGATCCTAACTCAATCCCAAAGTCCCTTTAGCCACATAAGATCATACATTGACAGAGGCCAGGCACGGTGGCTCACACCTGTAATCCCAGGACTTGGGGAGGCTGAGGTGGGAGGATCACTTGAAGCCAGGAGTTCAAGACCAGCCTGACCAACATGGCAAAACCCCATCTCTAATAAAAATACAAAAATTAGCCAGGCATGGTGGTGCATGCCTGTAATCCCAGCTCCTAGTGGGACTGAGGCAGGAGGATCACTTGAATCTGGGAGATAGAGGTTGCAGTGAGCCGAGATCATGCCACTGCATTCCAGCCTGGGGAACAGAGCAAGACTCCATCTCAAAAAAAAAAAAAAAAAAAAAAAAATCACATTAAAGGTTTCAGTGATTAAGACCTGGATATCTCTGGGGGGTGGGGGGGCTGTTATTATTCCAGCCACCCCACATGGGATGATATGTTAGAGGAAAATCATCGGGAAGTGGTCAGACAAGGCAAGCAGGATGCCTGGGACGCCCGCCCAACCCTGGGTACCACAGGGCTGGGCTGGGGAAAACAGGTACACTTGGGGTGGGGTCCAGGCTTGGGTCTTCTAGAGCAGGAGGCCTCTGACCTCGGGGCCCAGCGTGGAACATGAGCTTCTGGACAGGAGAGTGTCAGGATGTCCTGATACTCCCGCAGGAGGGACAAAGGGCTCCTAGCCATCCCCCTGCCCCTCACACTCTGTTTCTCCCTCTCACATCTGCCCTCCCTTCTTCCCTTCTCTCTCATCAGGTTCCTCTGCCCTTGTCTCCCACCCGTCCTCTCTCCCCTTCCTTCGTATCTGTGAGGCCTTGTTCCCTGCTGTGCAAGTCTGTGCCAGGCTTACTTTACTGTCTGTCACTGTGACTCTCACCCTCCCTGTCTTCCTTCCTGTGTCTCCATCATGGTCTCTTGCACACGCCATCTCTTGGACATTTTGTTTCTATACAACATTGTCTTCCCATTCTCCTGGCTGGCAGTGGCCCTGTGGCCCCGTGTGGGCAGACCCAGGGGACATAAGCACAGGGGCTGCTGGGGGCTTCTGGAGAAACATCTTTCCTGACCAAAAAGGACAGCCCTGGTTGTGGCAGCTCTTCCCCTCCTCCTGCCTTGACTAGAGATGGTGATGGCTGGAGCCAAGTCACCACTTTGTAATCATGAGGAAAAAGAAAGGAGAGTAACAGACTGCCCCTGACGACCTTAAGCCGGCGAGCCAAGGGCAGCAGCTGCGTAACTGTGGGCTTTTGTTCTTTGGAGTGGGGGAAGAAGAAGTCCCAGTGTGATTATGCCACTCTAAAACATGGCTTTCGGCTGGGCACAGTGGCTCATGACTGTCATCCCAGTGCTTCGGGAGGCCGAGGCAGGCAGATCACCTGAGGTCAGGAGTTCAAGACCAGCCTGACCAACATGGAGGCACCCCGTCTCTACTAAAAATACAAAATTAGCCGGGTGTAGTTGCACATGCCTGTAATCCCAGCTACTCGTGAGGGTGAGGCAGGAGAATCACTTGAACCCTGAAGGTGGAGGTTGCAGTGAGCTGAGAGCAAGCCATTGCACTCCAACCTGGGCAACGAGCAAAACTGTCTCAAAAAAAAAAAATAAAAAATGACTTGTTTCTCACAGCTAAGAGTTCCTGATACAGCTCTGCCTTAAAGAACTGGCAAATTAGTATGCATTTGTGTTTCAATTTCAAATAAAATAAGGCAAAAAATATATATACGTATTTAAATATTGTATGTCAGGGGATCCCCACGTCACTGTCTGACTCTGTGTGGAGATCCATGGTTCCCTTGGGCTTGGCTCTTCCCACACCAGTGCAGGGTCCCAGGAACACATCTCCCGCCACACATGGCCGCCATGTCCCTCCGCTGGAGCTGGGCAGGGTCATCCTCACTCCTCAGTGACCCTCATGATGGCTCCACCAGGTAGGTACTTTTATTCTCCCCATTGAACAAGTGAGGACACTGAGGGGTGCAGGGATGTAAGTTACCTTCCCTAGGTCCACTATCTAGGAAGTGGTGGGCCAGGGTTTGGTCCATGCCTTCAGCTCCTTGACCCTGCATCTGTAACTACTAACTATACTGTGGAGAGCCTCGTGAGCTTCTGTGAGGTGCGGAACCTTATCCCACAGGTCGGGCAATGGCATGGACAGGTCTAGGAGTGAAAAGATCCTGCAATGGCTGGAGTTGTGGGCATTGAAGAGATGAGCCTGGAGTTAGGGGGAGCAGGGGAAACCATCTTCCCCCTGGTGAAATCCTGTTCTAAAATTGGTGATACTCCTGCCTTGGCCTCCCAAAGTGCTGGGATTATGGCCTCATCTCTATTTTTAAAAAATAAGAATCAGGCTGGGTGTGGTGGCTCGTGCCTGTAATCCCAGCACTTTGGGAAGCCGAGGCAGGTGGATCACTTGAGTTCAGCAGTTCGAGCCAGCCTGGCCAACACGGTGAAACCCCGTCTCTACTGAAAATACAAAAATAATTAGCTGGGCGTGGTGGCAGGTGCCTATATTTCCAGCTACTCAGGAGGCTGAGGTAGGAGAATCGCTTGAACCCAGGAGGCAGAGGTTGCAGTGAGCTGAGATCGCACCACTGCACTCCAGCCTTGGCAACAAAGAGACTCCATCTCAAAAAAAAAAAAAAATTCAAAACCCATCAAGTTGGGATGTTTAGTGCTGGGCTTCAGGAAGAGTAGGCAGGAGGGTAGTATGGGAGGTTTCTAGGAGCCACTCCTAGAAGTGGCGCTCCCCACAGATGCTCCATTGCACTGACTGGAACTTGGTCACATGACCACACCTAGCTGCAAAGGATGCTGGGAAATGTGGTTCCCTGTTGGGAGGCCACTTCTGGGCTTCAAACCTTCACTGTGAATGGAGCTCACAGATTTTCTAAAAATTGACATTAAATGAGCCAGACTTGGCCCCAAGGATCTGGCTCACTGCAACCTCTACCTCCTGGGTTGAAGCAATTTTCCTGCCTCAGCCTCCCGAGTAGTAGCTGGGATTACAGGCACACACCACCATGCCTGGCTAAATTTTGTATTTTTTAGTAGAGATAAGGTTTCACCATGTTGGCCAGGCTGGTCTCAGAACTCCTAACCTCACATGATCCACCCGCCTCAGCCTCCCAAAGTGCTGGGATTACAGGCGTGAGCCACCACGCCTGGCCTCAATATTTCTTTTTCTGGGTATTTGAGTATGATATTATATATGATGGTTATTAGGCAGCCCATTGCATAGGAAGATTAGCTAAATCTGTTCTGAGGAATATTTATCTTCAATATAGTTATATAACGACAACATTCTTTTTTTGAATACTGGTCTCGGGTGCCTAATGATAGAAGGGTGACATCATTAAGGAACCCTGGAAAGTCCCTCTTTCCACGTGATCCCACGGATGCAAATAGCTCTGGGTGAGCTTGGGAACAGCTGAAAAAGCTGGAGCAACCGAGCAGGGCGCACAAGCCGAGGAGGGCTGTATAAAAGCGCAGGGGGCATTTTACCTCCAGGTTGGCCCTGCTCAGGACCAGGAGGAAACACCTCCAGCCCGCGACCTCCCCCCACAGCGGGAAAAGGAAAGCAGGAGGACCACAGAAGCTTTGGCACCGAGGATTCCCGCAGTCTTCACCCACTGAGATCCCGGCTGAACGAGCTGTGCAGCGACTACATCGCTAAGCCCAGGGAGCCCAACCCTCTGCTCCGGATTCCCGAGCACCCAGCTCCATTGCGCATGCGCACAAGCCCCAGCACAGACTCAGGCAAGCCGTCGGGGCGGGGAGGGCTGTTTCATCCCGCTGGGGCGGCCGTAACGAAGGACCAGGGATTGGGTGCAATTAAACAACAGGATTTTTTTTCTTTTTCTTTTTTCTTTCTTTCTTTTTTTTTTTTTTTTTGAGACACAGTCTCGCTCTGTCGCCCAGGCTGGAGTGCAGTGACATGATCTCCACTCACTGCAACCTCGGCCTCCCGGGTTCAAGCCATTCTCCTGCCTCAACCTCCGGAGTAGCTGGGACTACCGGCGCACACCACCACACCTGGCTAATTTTTGTATTTTTAGTAGAGACAGAGTTTCACCATGTTGGCCAGACCGGTCTTGAACTCCTGACCTCGTGATCCGCCCCACTCAGCCTCCCAAAGTGCTGGGATTACAGGCGTGAGCCACTGCGCCCGGCCAGGAGTTTATTTTCTAACACTTCCGGAAGCTGGAAGTCCAAAATCAAGGTGTTGGCAGGGTTGGTTTCTCCTGAAGCCTCTCGCAGAGGCCCTAATCTCTCCTTATAAAATCAATAAAACCAAATTCCAGGCCACCCTCAGGACTCCACTTTAACTTAGTCACCTCTTTAAGAGCCTATGTCTGGCCAGGTGCGATGAGTCATGCCTGTAATCCCAGCATTTTGGGAAGCTCTCTAGAGCCCAGAAGTTCAAGACCAGACTGGGTGACATAACAAGACCCGATCTCTACAAAACATAAAAAATTTAGCTGGAGATGGTAGCATGTACCTGCACTTCCAGCTACTCGGGAGGCTGAGGTGAGAGACTCACTTGAGCCAGGGAGGCTGAGGCTGCAGTGAGCCACAATCACATCACTGCACTCCAGCCTGGGTGACAAAGCAAGACCCTGTCTCAAAAAGCAAGCAACGAAAAAGAATCTTATGTCCAAATACAGTCACATTCTGAGGTTCTGGAGGTTACAAGTCCAACACATGAATTTGGAGGTGGTGGGGGGAAGCCGATTAATTTCATAACAGGGATCTTGAAATTGCCTTTGCAGAAATGAAAGTAATGAGAGAAAGCTAACATGACTGACCATCTTGTTTCTAACCTCACAGGCTAGATTTTTTTTTCTTATTCTAGTGCAGAGGCCAAAATTACCATGAGAGGAATTTAATTCATAGTTAAACTTTGAGACGAAGAAAACTGACCCCCCAGTGCTTGTTGAGAGATTGAAGTCACATTCATTTACTTTTTTTTTATTTATTTTTGAGACAGAGTTTCACTCTTGTTGCCCAGACTGGAGTGCAATGGTGTGATCTCTGCTCCCTGCAACCTCCACCTCCTGAGTTCAAGCGATTCTCCTCCCTCAGCCTCCTGAGTAGCTGGGATTACAGGCGCCCACCACCATGCTCAGGTGACTTTTGTACTTTTAGTAGAGACAGGGTTTCACCATGTTGGTCAGGCTGGTCTCCAACTCCTGATCTCAAGTGATCCACCCACCTCGGCCTCTCGAGGAGCTGGGATTACAGGCATGAGCCACTGTGCCCGGCCTGAAGCCACATTCATAAGACAAGGTTAGAATCATGAAGGTGCTGGAACTTTGCTAAATAACAGTTGTGGGTTAAACAATGACCTGCCCTCCCTTAGCTTCCTTTTCTATATGTGCTTCAGAGTCACATAACCAGGGGTCGCAAGATCTATAACTTCCCCAGCCACTTCTGTAAATAACATCGCTATTGTGAAACTTACAGAACTCATCTTTTTAGTGGACTGTGGTAGCTAACACCTGTAATCCCCACTTCTTGGGAGGCTAAGGCAGGAGGATTGCTTGAGCCCAGGAGAACAAGACCAGCCTGGGCAACATAGTGAGACCTCAATCTCTACAAAAAAATTAAAACTTTGCCAGAGGCAAAGTTTTAGAGGCATGGTGGTGCATGCCTCTAGCCCCAGCTACTCAGGAGGCCAAGGCAGGAGGATTGCTTAAGCCCAAGAGTTGGAGGCTGCAGTGAGCTATGATTGCGCCACTGTAAGGACCAGCCCTACAGGGTCTGTGGATCTTTCTCCCCGTGTGTGGAAATGAGATCGTAGAAATAAAGACACAAGACGGAGAAGAAAAGACAGCTGGTCTGGGGGACCACTACCACCAAGACGGGGAGACCGATAGTGGCCCTGAATGCCTGGCTGCGCTGTTATTTATTGGATAATAAGGGGCAGGGTAAAGAGTGTGAGTCATTTCCAGTGATTGATAAGGTCACGTGAGTCACGTGTCCACCAGACAGGGGGCCCTTCCCTGTTAGGTAGCCGAGGCAGAGAGAGAGAAGACAGCTTATGTCATTATTTCTTCTATGCTCTTTTCAGAAAGATCAAAGACTTTAATACTTTCACTAATTTTGCTGCTGCTCTGTAGAGGGCGGAGCCAGGTGTATGGAGTGGAACATGAAAGTGAAACAGGAGCGTGACCGCTGAAGCACAGCATCACAGGGAGATGGTTAGGCCTCCGGATGGCTGTGGGCGGCTGACACCAGTCAGGCCCTCCACAAGAGGCTGTGGAGCAGTCTTCTCTAACTCCCCCAGGGAAAGGGACACTCCCTTTCCCGGTCTGCTAAGTAATGGGTGCTTTTTCTAGGCACTGACGTGATCGCTAGACCAAGGTCCGCTAGGCCACGGGAGTCTTCCCAGACGCTGGCGTTACCGCTAGACCAGGGAGCCCTCTAGTGGCCCTGTCCGGGCGTGACAGAGGGTCACACTCCTGTCTTCTGGTCACTCCTGACCTCAAGTGGTCTGCTTGCCTCGGCCTCCCAAAGTGCTGGGATTACAGGCATGAGCCACTGCTCCTGGCAATAATGTTTTGTTTTGGTTTTGGTTTTGGTTTTTTTAAGGGGGAAGAAAAAAAAAAGAACTTGTCTTTGAGATAGTTTTCAGAGTGAGCATTTTGGCAGACCAAGAGCTACCACCTGGTCCTGACACCCACTACCAGGAAGTGACTCAGCCATACAAAGACAGTTTTGGTCTGTGATTTCATCCATACCCGATCAATTGTTTCAGTTCCCCCAGCCCCTTGCCCACCAAAGTTTCCTTAAAAAACCCTAGCCTCTGGCCGGGCGCGGTGGCTCACGCCTGTAATCCCAGCACTTTGGGAGGCCGAGGCAGGCGGATCACCTGAGGTCAGGAGTTCGAGACCAGCCTGGCCAATATGGAGAAACCCCATCTCTACTAAAAATACAAAAATTAGCTGGGCATGGTGGTACATGTCTGTAATCCCAGTTACTCGGGAGGCTGAGGCAGGTGAATTGCTTGAACCCAGGAGGTGGAGGGTGCAGTGAGCCAAGATCATGCCAATGCATTCCAGCCTGGGCAACAAGAGGGAAACTTCATCTAGAGAGAGAGAGAGAGGAGAAAAAGAGAAAGACAGAGAGGAAAAACCCTAGCCTCCAAATTTTCAGAGAGATGCGCTTGAAACATTTCTCCCATTTCTCCCATTCTCCTCTCTTGGCCGCCCCTGAGATTATTAAACTCTCACTCTTTGCTGCAACACCTGCTGTTCACATTGGTTTTGTCTGGGCAGTGGACAAGAAGAACCCATGAGCCCGTGACAGTCCCGGCCCTCCCCCACTGTCTTTGCTAAGCCCAACAGTGGACACAGGTCTAACAAGAGCCATTTGTTTGGCAGGAGGACTGAGAATTTTCTGACTGCAGTGCACCATGGGAAGGTAAGTCGTCTCAGAGCTGACCACTGTGGGGAAGCAGAGCATTTGTGTAATGGAATGCACAGTGAGTGTCAAGAGGTGAGGGCTGTGACCGTTCCTCTCGCTTGGTGGAGATAGATGGAAAGAGCTGAAGGTTGGGCGTGGTGGCCCATGCCTGTAATCCCAACACTTTTGTTGGCCGAGGCAAGAAGGTCTCTTGAGTCCCAGAGTTTGAGATTAGCCTGGGCAACATGGTGAAACCCTATCTCTACAATAAAAGAAAATATTTTTAAAAATTAGCCAAGCATAGTGGTACACACCTGTAGTCCAAGCTACTTGGGAGGCTGAGACATGAGGATCACTTGAGTCCCGGTGCTCAAGGCTGCAGTAAGCTATGATTGCACCACCGCACTGGTGATGGGCAACAGAGCAAGACCCTGTCTTATTGTTGAACCGGGGAGGTGGAGGTTGCAGTGAACTGAGATTGCGCCACTGCACTCCAGCCTGGGCAACAGAGCAAGATTCTGTCTCAAAAAAGAGAGAGAGAGAGAGAGAGAAAGGAGGGAGGGAGGGAAGAAGAAAGGAAGGGAGGGAGGGAGGTAACCATGTTGGCCAGGCTGGTCTTGAGCTCCTGGGCTCAAGTGATCCACCCACCTCGGCCTCCCAAAGTGCTGGGATTACAGGTGTGAGCCACCGCATCTGGCCCCAAAATTAACCATTTTGAAAAGTGAATAATTGACTGGCATTCAATGCATTCACAGTATTGTACAACCATCACCTCTATCTAGTTTCAGAATATTTTCCTCACCCCAAAAGGAAACCAGGTACCCATGGGCTGGTGGCTACCTGCTCGGACAGCCCGGTTCTAGGTCAAATTCTGTGTTTTATCCCTTTTCCCTGTGAATTTTCTGGACTTCTTTGTGTTTTCTCCTGGGAAGCTCTGAGGTTTCCATAATTCCTGGGCTCCAGAAAGAAGAAAAGGTGGCTGTGGAGAGACGAAGACTTCATGTGCTAAAAGCTCTGAAGAAGCTACATATTGAGGCCGATGAGGTAAGTGAGGGGAGGAGGGTGGCCCCAGAGATCCCAGGATCGCCCCCTCTGTGCCCAGTGTCCAGGGCCCATCTCAGCCAGGGAGAGCTGGACCAAAGGGAGGAAATAGAAGGATACGACCTTCTATGGGACAGAAATAGAAGGATATGAACTTCTATGGGACAGACATTGCCCCTGCCTAAGGGAGATCCTAGGTCGTCTTCTTATCCTTCTCCTCCTCCTCCTCCTTTCTTTTTCTTTTTCTTTTTTTCTTTCTTTTTTTTTTTTTTTTTTTGAGACAAGGTCTCGCTCTGTCTCCCAGGCTGGAGTGCAGTGGCATGATCTTGGCTCACTGCAACATCCACCTCCCAGGTTCAAGCTATTCTTCTGCCTCAGCCCACTAAACAGCTGGGATTACAGGTGTGCGCCACCACACCCAGCTAATTTTTGTATTTTTAGTAGAGATGGGGTTTTACCATGTTGGCCAGGTTGGTCTTGAACTCCTGACCTCAAGTGATCCACCCGCCTCGGCCTCCCAATGTGCTGGGATTACAGGCGTGAGCCACGGTGCTTGGCCCTAGGTACCCTTCTTCTTGTTCCCACCTCCATCCTCAGGCTCTGAACCTCTGATTGATTCTCTCCCCAATGCCTAGGCCCCAGTTGTTGCTGTGCTGGGCTCAGGCGGAGGACTGCGGGCTCACATTGCCTGCCTTGGGGTCCTGAGTGAGATGAAAGAACAGGGCCTGTTGGATGCTGTCACGTACCTCGCAGGGGTCTCCGGATCCACTTGGTAAGTGTCACTCGTGTTTCAGATTGCTTTCTGACACATAAATGGGATTATTGTTTTCCTCCTGACACCAAATGTGTGTGGTTTTTCCAACGCTGCTTCTTGAGCTCTCTGATACTAGCTGGGTATCCTACAATGCTGAGCAATTCTGCCGCTGTCTGCCTGGAGTTCAGGTCAGATTCCAACAGGTTAAAGGGGCTCAGTCCCTAAAAACTGCCCCACTTCAGACACGAGTTGCAATTACCTAGCCGCTGGTACTTCTGACCGACTGGCAATAGTTTGGGGTTTCCCACAGCTTCCTCCTCATGTTCAATAATTTACCGGAATAGCTCACAGAACTCAGGAACACACTTTACTTATATTTGCTGGTGTATTACAAAGGATGGGCCAGGTGTGGTGGCTCATGCCTGTAATCCGAGCACTTTGAGAGGCTGAGGCAGGAAGATCACTTGAGTTCAGGAGTTTGAGACCCAAGCTAGGCAACATAGCTAGACCCCATCTCTACAAAAAGTGAAAAAATTAGCCTGGTGTGGTGGTACATGCCTATGGTCCCAGCTGCTCAGGAAGCTGAGGCAGGAGGATTGCTTTAGCCTGGGAGGCTGAGGCTGCATTGAGCTACAGTCACACACTGCACACCAGCCTGGGTGACAGAGAGACCCTGTCTCAAAAAAAAAACCCAAAAATTCTAAAAAACAATTCCAAGGATTTTAGGAACTCTGCACCAGGAAGCAGGGAAAAACACGAAGTATCTTTCTTTACTACACAAAACTGCTGTGGACAAAGCATAATAATACTACCTTCTGACTTTAAAGGAGGATTTACAGGTTCAGGTGCACTTTTCACACTGCAGGTGGATAGAATACAGCCCTTTTAACTTCTCAGCCTCCGTGATAAAGTATTGCATTAATTTGTGTAGGACTGTCTCATTCAGGAGGCCCCAGATGGCAGGTATGAAACACTCATGTCTGCATGTTTGTTTCCAAGCCCAGGGCAGACATGACTAATCGATCTTGGCACATTTTCCGAGCAGGAGGTAAGGCTGGGCAGAGCAGCAGAGGCTCGAGTGAGATAGGCAGGGCAGAGGCATGAATGTTGAACCTGGCTGGCATGATTTGTTTTCCTTTCTGTGCTCAAAGTTTGATCTGGAGCTGGGTTCTGAGCTGGGTGTGGAGGATGAGGTTCATGGGGACGACAGCAGGAAGAGCAGAGCTGCAGAGCCTGGGAGTGGGAAAGGTACTGCAGAGTCACACCTAGGACCCCTCTATTCCTCCAAGGCTCATCTAGAACATGTTGAGTGACATGGCATGAGGATTTAGCCGAACTGCACATTGCAGAACTCCAGGGGGCGCTGTTGAGATAGGAACCACATGATTTCTTCTGTAATCTTTCCAAGGCTGCAGTGGTTAAGACCTGGCTGGACACAGGGACTCACACCTGTAATCCCAGTACTTTGGGAGGTCCAGGTGGGAGGATCTCTTGAGCCCAGGAGTTCAAGACTAGCCTGGGCAACATAGCGAGACCCCATCTCTACAAATGACAACAACAAAAGCCTTATATTCCAACAGCTTTGGGTTAGTTCCTGGAGCTGTCCTTTGTGGGCTGTTATGAGCCCAGACATACTTCTTTGTGCCTTGGTTTCTTCCACTGTTGAGGATAACTTGCTGATTTCACAGGACTCTTTGAGATTTAAATGATGAAACATATGCAAAGCGTCCCAACCTGAGCTATCCAGTAGTACTGTATACCATGAGCCATATCTCATCTATTCTATCATTTTAAATTTTCTTTCTTTCTTTCTTTTCTTTTCTTTTCTCCTTTTGGAGATGCAGTCTCACTCTCGTTGCCCAGGCTGGAGTGCAGTGGCGCGATCTTGGCTCATTGCAACCTCCACCTCCCGGGTTCAAGCAATTCTCCTGCCTCAGCCTCCCAATTAGCCGGGATTACAGGCACTTGCCACCACACCCAGCTAATTTTTGTATTTTTAGTAGAGATGGAGTTTCACCATGTTGGCCAGGCTGGTCTCAAACTCCTGACCTCAGGTGATCTGCCTGCCCTAGCCTCCCAAAGTGCTGGAATTACAGGCATAAGCCACCATGTCTGGCCCATTTTAAATTTTCTAGTAGCCTCTTCAAGAAGGTAAAAAGAAACAGTGAAATGAATGATCAATTTTCTTTAACCCAATATATCCAAAACATTCGCGTTTTGACACATCATTAAGAAAAACATTGTTAATGAGATATTTGACATTCCTTTTGTCAGACTAAGTCTTTGAAAGCTGCTGGGCCTTTTATACTCAGCGCATTCCAAGTTGGATGCAGAAGTCTCATTAGATGTTAAGGGAGGCCCAGGGCAGTGGCTCACGCCTTTAATTCCAGCACTTTGGGAAACCGAGGCGGGTGGATCACCTGAGGTCAGGAGTTTGAGACCAGCCTGGCCAACATGGTGAAACCCTGTCTCTACTAAAAATATAAAAATTAGCTGGTTGTGGTAGCGGGTGCCTGTAATCCCAGCTACTTGGGAGGCTGAGGCAGGAGAATCATTTGAACCCAGGAGGCAGAGGTTGCAGTGAACCGAGATCAAATCACTGTACTCCATCCAGCCTGGGTGACAGAGCAAGACTCCGTCTCCAGAAAAAAAAAAAGATGTTAAAGGAAAGAGCTTTTCATAACCAGCTTGTTCCAGACATACTCCAGAGTTTCCCAGTAACTGAATGGAGTACCAGTGTTTACATTTAAGCTAATTAAAATGAAATAAAAATTTAAAATCACGCTAGCCACACTTCAAGGGCTCAAGAGCTACGATGTGTGTTTAATACATTGTATGGTGTGAGTGTAGATAGCACCCAATAAGCAGCATTAAGAACATCAAAAATTTTTATTGAGCACAGGCACAGTGGCTCACACCTATAATCCCAGCATTTTGGGAAGCTGAGGTGGGAGGATTGCTCGAGGCCACAAGCTTGAGACCAGCCTGGGCAAATAGTGAGACTCTGTCTCTACAGAAAATAAATTTAAAAATGAGCAGGGCATGGTGATGCACCTGGTGAGTAGTGTGGTTCCAGCTACTCGGGAGGCTGAGGTGGGAGGATCATTTGAGCCCAGGGATTTGAGGCTGCAGTGAGCCAAGATCATGCCACTGCACTTGAGGCTGGGCAACAGAGCAAGACCTGTCTCAAAAAAAAAATTTTATATATATATATAGACTCCATGTGACACACCAGCTCCCTTGCCTTCTGCCATGAGTAGAAGCTTTTTGTACCATGCTTCTTGTACATCCTGCAGAACTGTGAGCTAAATAAACCTCTTTTCTTTATAAATTTAAAAAGATATATATACATACATATATTTTATATATATATATATACACACACACACATATTTATTGAGTGAACAAATGAATATCAAGTCTTTTTTTTTTTTTATTAGACAGAGTTGTGCTCTGTCACCAGGCTGGGGTGTAGTGGCACAATCTCGGCTCACTGCAACCTCGGCCTCCCAGGTTCAAGTGACTCCTCTGCTTCAACCTCCTGAGCAGCTGGGACCACAGGCGTGTGCCACCGTGCCTGGCTAATTTTTATGTTTTTAGTAGAGACGGAGTTTCCTGAGTATCTGGCACTACAGGTGCCCACCACCGTGCATGCCACCACGCCTGGCTAATTTTTTTGTATTTTTAGTGGAGACGGGGTTTCACCGTGTTGACCAGGCTGGTCTCAAACTCCTGACCTCAGGCAATCCTCCCGCCTCGGCCTCCCAAAGGGCTGGAATTAACAGGCATAAGCCACCACACCTGGTCCCTTTCATTGATTTTCTAGGATTATGTGAGTTAATAGGTCTAAAAGACTAAAGACAGTTTGTTGCTGTCACATGTAAACCTTTAATAAATGCCGGCTGCAAAAAACATTTGACTCAGATGAGGCCTTTCTCCCATCATGCTCTCATTTTCCTGCCTGTGAAATAGAAGGATTGTCCCAGGTGATTTTGAGCCTCCTCCTTTGACCCTGATCGTTCTGCAGTTATATTTATTTAATGTAAATTTTCCGTTTCCTCTGCGTGTCGCCCTCTCCGTGAGGCAGGTGTTCCTGTGAAGGACCTCCTCCCACGCATCCTTCCCCAGTCTTCATCGTCCATACATACAATGCCAAACTCACTCTCTTCCTCTGTCCTCCAGGGCAATATCTTCTCTCTACACCAATGATGGTGACATGGAAGCTCTCGAGGCTGACCTGAGACATCGATTTAGCCGACAGGAGTGGGACTTGGCTAAGAGCCTACAGAAAACCATCCAAGCAGCGAGGTCTGAGAATTACTCTCTGACCGACTTCTGGGCCTACATGGTTATCTCCAAGCAAACCAGAGAAGTAAGTCATTCCCCGCTGGGGACCTGGGGTGGGGGTAGGAGCAAGGGGTCTCAGGGCGTGAGGTTGCCAAAGATACTGACTGGCACACCTTTTAAGTCTTTCGGGACTTTCAAGACATCAAAATCTGGGCATTTCGATGGATGCCTCAAAACTTAAGTATATCAGAATGACAGTGGTTGCAAGTGACAGAAACTGACTCTTATTCATTTATGCAAAAAATAAAGTGATATGATTTACTAGAAAGATACACAGACATCCAGGGCAAGAAGAACAATGAGGAATTATGATGGAATAAGGCAAAAATAGGGAAAGTCTCAGACCCAAGACAACTTTCCTCTCCATCCCTCCTTGGCCATTTGATGTCTTGAATTCACTATTTTATTTCATTTCATTTCATTTCATTTTTCAGAAAGGGTCCTGCTCTGTCACCCAGGCTGGAGCGCAGTGGCGGGATCATGGCTCACCGCAGCTTTGACCTTCTGGGCTCAAGCAATCCTCTTGCCTCAGCCTTTTGAGTAAGCTGGGGCAACAGGTGTGCACCACCATGCCTGGCTAATTTTTAAATTTTTTTTTTTGTAGAGACAGGGATCTCGCTATATTGCCCAGGCTGGTCTCAAACTCCTGAGCTCAAGCAATCCTCCAGCTACTGGGTTCAAGTGATCCTCCCACCCCAGCCTCCCAAAGTGCTGGGATTATGGGTATGAGCCACTGCATCCAGCCTATCCTAACACTTTGGGCTTTTGTTGTTGTTTTGTTTGTTTTGTTTGTTCTTGAGACAGGGTTTCACTCTGTCACTCAGGCTGGAGTGCAGTGGTGCAGTCATACTCACTGCAGCCTTGACCTCCTGGGCTCAAGCAATCCTCCCAGCTCAGCCTCCCAAGTAGCTGGGACTACAGGCACCCACCACTGTGCCTGACTAATTGTCTTTTATTTTTCATTTTTTTTGTAGAGACAGGATCTTGCTTCGTTGCTCAGGGTGGTCTCCAAATCCTGGACTCGAGTGATCCTTCCACCTCAGCCTCCCAAAGTGCTGGGATTTATAGGTATGAGCCACTGCACCTAGCCTATCCAGGCACTTTGGGTGGCCGAGGCAGGAGGATTGCTTGAAGCCATGAGTTCGAGACCAGCCTGAGCCACATAGCAAGAGCCTGTCTCTATCAAAAAATAAATTAGCCGGGCATGGTGACATGCATCTGTAGTCCCAGCTACTTGGGAGGTTGAGGCAGGTGGATTGCTTGAGCCCAGGAGGTTGAGGCTGCAGTGGGCCATGATTGTACCACTGCACTGCAGCCTGGGTGACAGACTGAGACCCCTCTAAAAAAAAAAGTTGGCCTACGTGCAGAGGTTCCACCCTGTGGGACCCATATGCTCCCTCACACTTCGTCTTGGCACCTTCTCCCAAAGCTGCCGGAGTCCCATTTGTCCAATATGAAGAAGCCCGTGGAAGAAGGGACACTACCCTACCCGATATTTGCAGCCATTGACAACGACCTACAACCCTCCTGGCAGGAGGCAAAAGCACAGGGTAAGCAAACATTTAGAGGGAGGGAGAGGTAGTAAGGGACGGAACGGCATGGAGTGAAATGGAAGAGTGTTTTCCTGCCCTTCCCTTGGGGAGCCCAGGAAGAGGGAAGGGCTCAGGATTGCGGAAAACAGGGTGCTCAGCTTAGAGGAGAGAAGAGGGAAGTCCCAGAAGTAGCCAGAGGACGCGCACTTGCGTTGCATGGATCAAGAAAACCTTTAAGAGGTCAACATGGTGGCTCACGCCTGTAATCCCAGTCATGCCTGTAATCCCAGTGCTTTGGGAGGCTGAGGTGGGAGGATTGCTTGAAACTAGGAGTTGGAGACCACCCTGGGCAACATAGTGAGACCCCATCTCAAAACAACAGCAACATTAAATAGCAAAACAAAACAAAACAAAACACAATAAAATAGTCAAGCATGGTGGCAGGAACCTGAAGAATCTACTCAGGAGATTGAGGCAGGAGAATCACTGGATATCCAGAATTCAAGGCTTCAGTGAGCTGTGATTGCACCATTGCACTACAGCCTGGGCAACAAAGTGAGACCCTGTCCCCCCGCCCCCCAAAAAAAAAGAAAGAAAAAAGAAAAGAGAGGACAGGAAGGAAAAAAGAAAAAAAGGAAAGAAACTGTAATAAGGGAGGTTTGAAGGATGGTAGGGTGGGTGGGAAGGGCTGTCTTTCACTTTTGTTTTGTTTTGTTTTGTTTTGTTTGAGACAGAGTTTCTCTCTTGTTGTCCAGGCTGGAGCGCAATGGCACGATCTCGGCTCACCGCAACCTCCACCTCCCAGGTTCAAGCAATTCTCCTGCCTCAGCCTCCCTAGTAGCTGGGACTACAGGCATGTGCCACTACGCCCGGTTAATTTTGTATTTTTAGTTTCTCCATGTTGGTCAGGCTGGTCTCGAACTTCTGACCTCAGGTGATCCACCTGCCTCAGCCTCCCAAAGTGCTGGGATTACAGGCGTGAACCACGGCTCCCAGCCATCTCTCACTTTTTAGATGTCTTCCTTCTCCATAGGTCCAATTGTCACCCAAATGCTGGCAGCTCTCCAGTCATTCCAGTTTCTCTTTTGAGCTCATCTCTCTCCTGAGATCCACACCTCCTTACCCTATTTCCTAAGCACTTACTTGTGCACTTACTTGTTAAGCAACTGTGTCCTGGCTTCTCACGATATATCAGGCAATGTTACCAGTTACCAGTGGTTGGACATCTCCCGGCATCTCAAGGCTCAGAAGCCCTCAGTATGAATGGTGTTTGTTTGTTTGAGACAGAGTTTTGCTCTTGTTGCCCAGGCTGGAGTGTAATGGCGCGATCTCAGCTCATAGCAACCTATGCCTCCCGGGTTCAAGTGATTCTCCTACCTCAACCTCCCAAGTAGCTGGGATTGTAGGCATGCGCCACCACACCTGGCTAAGTTTTGTATTTTTAGTAGACACAGGGTCTCACCATGTCAGTCAGGCTGGTTTCAAACTCCTGACCTTAGGTGATCCACCCGCCTGGGGCTCCCAGAGTGCTGGGATTATAGGCGTGAGTCACCGCGCCCAGCCGTGAATGTTTTATCTCTCTCCTCAGTGTGTTTCCTTGTGCTGTTTTCTCACCAGAGCAGATAGAGCTGACTCCATCCATTCCATAGGCCCCACAAATTCAGTCCTTCCCAGCCCTAGAAATCACCCCCTCCTCATTTTCATCCTTTGTGCTCTTCTACATCACCCCCAGACCAGGTCTCCCAGTCTCCTGGGAGACTCTTGTAATTAGTTCCTCACTGGCCCGCCCGTCCCAAGCTGTCCACCTCCTTCCCTGGCTACCTAATGGAAGTTTCCAGGATGAAAATCTGATCATGTCATTTTCTTCCCTGGAATATTCTAATGACTCACATTGGAATCATGCATTAGATTTATGCCCACAGACAAACTTCCATGCAATCATGTGGCTACACTCTTCCTTTGCACTCCAGGGTTCCATGGAGTTGTAGCCACAATGAGACGGAAGAGAGAGGCAGGGCTGAGGGTTCAAGCTCTGGAAAATACTGGAAACAGGCTTCTGTGGAAGTTATGAGCTGCCACCAGCAGTGTAAAGACTCAGGTCTGGGATGAGATCCCCAGTGGTTTCTGACACCACACGGTCCGTCTCTGACATTCTCCTGGCATGGTTGTAATTCCTCATTAATAGATTTTTTTTCCTGCACACCTGCTACGTTCCAAGTTCTGTGCTGGGACTCACTAGCCCTTGTATTTCCTCTGCAGAGACCTGGTTCGAGTTCACCCCTCACCATGCTGGCTTCCCTGCACTGGGGGCCTATGTTTCCATAACCCACTTTGGAAGCAAATTCAAGAAGGGAAGACTGGTCAGAACTCACCCTGAGAGAGACCTGTCTTTCCTGAGAGGTCAGTGCTGGGGTCAGAGGGGATTAAATGGGGGTGGGAAGTGGAGGAGAGGTAAGAGGGTCTAGCTTTGCCCAGCTCTTACATTTCTGGGGGGAAAGAAAAGGACTTGGTATGCTTCCAGAAAGAGGAATGGTGTGTTCCTCCTGCTGAGTCTTCAGTGTCTCTCAAAGGTCTCCTTAATGTGTCAGATACATGATATCCTATCAAACAATCCAGGAGAGAGAGCTTAATAGAGGGGCTCAAGTCCAGGGCTGTGGCTTCCAATAAGCAGATTCAGAATGTGTTTGGGATGACATGGTGCTTTGGGAGGCTGATATGGGAGGATCCCTTGAGACTGGGAGTTTGAGACCAACCTGGGAAACATAGCAACATTGTGTCTCTACAAAAACTTAAAAATTAGCCAGGCATGGTGGCATGTGCCTATGGGTCCCAGCTACTCAGGAGGCTGAGGCAGTGGAAGGATCACTTCAGCCTGGGAGTTCAAGGCTGCAGTGAGTTATGATCCACCACTGCCCTCCAGCCTGGATGACAGAGAAAGATCCTGTCTCAAAACAAACAAACAGCAACAAAAAAAAAACTAGAATGTGTTTTGGGCACCAGCAAAGCAAGGGGCATACAATTTTTTTAAAACAGGGTATTTCCAGAAAAAATTACAACAAAAACCAAAAACAATCAAAACAGTGATAGTGAGTAAAATCAGAACTTGATTAAATGTCCTTGACTGTAGCTTACACACTGGTATCACTTTTAGTTGTGGCTTCATAATCTTCTGAGAACTCAGGGTCTGAAGGCATTACCCTGCTAGGCAGACAGCTCCCCTACACAGGACACATAATGCCAGCTTGAGAAAGTCATTTATGTTACCTGAGCCTCGGTTTTCTCATAGGGAAAGTACTTATCTCAAAATGTGGGTATGAGAGTTAGGCATAATCCACAAATAAAGCACTCAGCCCAGTGCCCAGCACATGGTAGTAATTCAAGGATGGTTGAATCGCCATGATTTTAGCATACACTTTTGAGACACGCTGGGACCCTGATACTATTTTAAATGCAGGGGATTCAGTCATGAGCAGGACAGTGAAGGCTCATTCCCTAATGAAGTTTGCACTCCAGGAAAGGAGATGATGAATGAACACACACAAAAATAAATATATATTATAATGTCAGATCACAGTAAATGCTATCTTGAAAAATAATTCATGATAAGGGGCTGGAGAGTGACCACAGTATTATTTTTAATTGGTGGTCGAGCTTCTGACAGGAGATGGCCTTTGAGCGTGGACCTGATGAAAAGTGAAGCCATGCAGATATCTTAGAGGAAAAGCACATGGACAGAGGGAAGAGCAAATACAGAGACCTTGTATTAGTCCATTTTCATACTGTTATAAAGATACTACCCGAGACTGGGTAATTTGTAGACAAAGAAGTTTTAATTGACTCACAGTTTCACATGGCTGGGGAGACCTCAGGAAACTTACAATCATGGCAAAAGGCAAAGGGGAAGCAAGAACCTTCTTCACATGGTGGCAGAAGAGAGAAGAGCAAGCCAAAGAAAAACTACCCAACACTTATAAAACCATCAGATCTCGTGAGAACTCACTCACTATCATGAGTGCAGCATGGGGGGAACTGCCCCCATGATCCAATTACCTCCCACAAAGTCTCTCCCTCAACACCTGGGGATTACAACTCGAGAGATTTGGGTGGGGACATAAAACTTAACCATATCAGACCCTAAGCCAGGACCATGCTTGTCTTACTCTAGAACCAATGAGAAGACCAGTGAGGTTGGAGCCTCCTGAATGAGGCTGTGAGAGAGGGCTGGAGAGGTAGGCAAGGTCCAGATCATATGGGACCCTGAGGGACACAGATGAAGTTTAGTTTGTATTCCAAGTGTGTTGGGAGAGCCAGGGAGGCAGTTTAATTAGGGTGGTGACCTGATTCAGTTTATATTGGAAAAGATCGATCTCTCTCTCTCTCAGCATGGATTAGGGGTGGGTGTGTGCAAACTTAGAAGTTGGGAGCAGTTGCTAATGGTCCTGGTGACAGATAATGGCAGTTTAAGGTTGGGTACCAGAGTGGATATGGGAGGGAAGTGGATGGACTCTGGAAACCTGGAGATGGATGAAGAAGAATTACACCTGGATTGGATGTGGAGAGTAAGAAGAATCAGAGATGACATTAAAGGTTCCAGCTCCAGCAACCTGGTAGATGGAGGGGTGTTCTCAGGGAGAGGAATGAGGTAGGATGAAGGGGATCTTCCCCCTTTCTCTTGTCTGAACAGAAGGGGTCCTTCATATTGCCAAGCCTGGCTCCTGTCTCCTATCCCCGCCATCTTTTTGCTAAATCTGGTCTTGGCCATCAGATATTCTGAAATTGTCACTCCCAGGTGCTCCTTATAACATTATTATTTCCTTGGGTGTATGTATCACCTACTGAAGTGGTTCTGTACATGTCTCTTATCCCCCCCACACACACCCGGGTGCTTTTTATTTATTATTACAAAAAACATATAGCATAAATTTTGCCATTTTAACAATTTTAAAGTGTCAAGTACAGTGGTATAAATACGATACATCCATAATGTTATGCAACCATCACCACCATCCATCTCCATAACCCTTTTCATCTTGTAAAACTAGAACTCTATGCCCATTGAACACTTAACTCCCTGTCACCCCCTCTCTTAGCCCCTGACAACCACAATACTACCTTCTGCCTCTATGAGTTTGACTACTCTGAGTATGACATGTAAATGGAATCATGCACTGTTTGTCTTTTTGTGTCTGTCTGATTTCACTGAGGAAAATGACTTTGAAGTTCATCCATATTGTACCATGTGTTCGAATTCCTTCCTTTTTATGGATGAATCATATTCCATTGTACAAATATACCACATTTTGCTTATCAATTCATCCATCGATGGACACATGGATTGCTTTCATCTTTTGGCTGTTGTGAAGGAAGCTGCCATGCACATGGGTCTGTGAATATCTTTTTGAGACCTTGCTTTCAATTCTTTTGGGTACATACTCAGAGGTAGAGTTGCTGGATCATGTATGTGGTAATTCTATTTTTAAAATTTTGAGGCCGGGCCTGGTGGCTCATGCCTGTAATCCCAGCACTTTGGGAGGCCGAGGCAGGAGGATCACCTGAGGTCGGGGGTTTGAGACCAGCCTGACCAACATGGTGAAACCCCATCTCTACTAAAAATACAAAATTAGCTGGGTGTGGTGACACCTGCCTATAATTCCAGCTACTCGGGAGGCTGAGGCAGGAGAATTGCTTGATCCTGGGAGGCGGAGGTTGCAGTGAGCCGAGATCGTGCCATTGCACTCCAGCCTGGGCCATCTCAAAAAAAAAAAAAAAAATTTTTTTTGAGAAACGACCATACCATTTTCCACAGTGGCTGTACCATTTTATATTCTGCCCAATGGTGCACCAGGGTTCCAATTTCTCTACGTCCTCATCAACACTTATTGTTTTCTGGGGTTTTTTGGATACCAGCCAACCCAATGGGTATGTCTGTAGTGTCTTTGAGTTTTCTTCTCCTTTTTTTTTTTTTTTTTTGAGATGGAGTCTCACTCTGTCGCCCAGGCTGGAGTGCAGTGGTACAATCTCTGCTCACTGCAACCTCCCGGGTTCAAGTGATTCTCCTGCCTCAGCCTCCCGAGTAGCTGGGACTATAAGTGCACACCACCAGGCCCAGCTAATTTTTGTGTTTTTAGTAGAGATAGGGATTCACCATGTTAGCCAGGCTGATTTTAAACTCCTGACTTCAATTCATCCACCCACCTCAGTCTCCCAAAATGCTGGCATTACAGGCGTGAGCCAACGCACCTGGCCCTGGCTGATTATTCATTTTTTATGTCTTCCTGTATCTATACAAATATGTTTGGCTAAAAGTCACTAACCAACCACAGTGCCCTGAGGAAATGTGGGATTAATTTTCTTACAAAAGAAAAAGACAGGCCGGGCACCGTGACTCACACCTGAAATCCCAGCACTATGGGAGACTGAGGCGGGCAGATCACTTGAGGTCAGGAGTTCGAGACCAGTTGGGCCAACATGGTGAAACCCCATCTCTACTAAAAAAACACAAAAATTACCAGGGCGTGGTGGCACATACCTGTAATCTCAGTTACTCAGGAGGCTGAAGCAGGAGAATCACTTGAATCTGGGAGGCAGAGGTTGCATTGAACTGAGATCACATCACTGCACTCCAGCCTGGGCCACAGAGCAAGACCCCATCTCAAAATAAATACATAAATAATGCAAAGATAGGTGACTGGGTGACATTGGTTTAGCTGTGGAACATTAAGCAGAAGGACCTAGGTTTATTCTGGGTTTCTGCTCCTCCATCCTTAGCATATTAACAGTCACCCTCATGCTGAACTCCTCCACACCACAGGATGGCTGCTGCATCCAATGAAGCTGCAACTTTTTTTTTTTTTTTTTTAAGTCAGGGTCTCTCTCTGTCACTCAGGCTGCAGTGCAGAAGCACAATCATAGCCCAGTACAGGTCTCGAACTCCTGGCCTCAAGCAATCTTCCTGCCTCAGCCTCCCAAGTAGCTGAGACTAGAGTTGCATGCCACCACGCCTGGCCTGCTCCTTCTGAGAAGGACAACAAGCACTTTGCAGAAGTCCCCCCAGCAATGTGCATGGACCACAGCTTGACCTCCCCCTAGCTGCAAGGGAGGCTGGGAAATATTTGCCCTTCCTGCCTGTAGACTGAGAAGGGTTGGCATGGAAGGAAGCTTGAAATGGCCTTGGGGTAGCCAGTCTACAGCGCCTGGCTGGATCTGCCCATAGAAGGTTTGCGAGGACAAGGACCTTATCTGTCTTGTTTATTGCTCTATTCCGCAGCCAGAAGAGTGCCGGGTGCCCACTAATTGCTTCATACATATTTATGGAATGGAAGAATGATCTTTCTTCCTGTTGCAGATCCCTGCAGTGCTTTATACCAGTCTGCTGGTGCTTTGAATATCAAGCATGACAGTCACGTGATGGAGAATGTTTGAATTTTATTGCTATTTTCTTGGCAGGTTTATGGGGAAGTGCTCTTGGTAACGCTGAAGTCAATAGGAATTATATTTTTGGTGAGTATTTGGGGAACAGAAAGGTCAAAGCCTAGAGATATTTTATGCAAGGAGATTCACAGTACTTTTCCTACTCATGGCAGAAGAGAGACCTGTATGTAATTGTTCTAGCAACTGCATTTCCTGACATTTATTCTCATATAATTGGGCAGCCAGGATGACCACAGAGTGGATGAGAGTACAGACCCCCTTGGAAGGAATGTTGCTTTGGTACATGTGAGCTTTGTGACCTCTGAAAAGTTCCTTAACCTCTCTGTGCCTCAGTTTCTGCCTCTGTGCCATGCGGGTGATAATAATAGTAGTTATGGGCCGGGCACGGTGGCTGACGCCTGTAATCCCAGCACTTTGGGAGGCTGAGACAGGCGGATCATGAGGTCAGGAGATCGAGACCACCCTGGCTAACACAGTGAAACCCCGTCTCTACTAAAAATACAAAAATTAGCCGGTGCGGTGGCGGGCGCCTGTAGTCCCAGCTACTTGGGAGGCTGAGGCAGGAGAATGGCGTGAACCTGGGAGGCGGAGCTTGCAGTGAGTGGAGATTGCACCACTGCACTCCAGCCTGGGCAACAGAGCGCGACTCTGTCTCAAAAAAAAAAAAAAAATAGTAGTTAGGAATATTTGATGAGTTAATTCATTGAAAGCTCATAGGACAGTGCCTGGTAGATAATGGTACTCAGTAAACATTAGCAATCATTACCTGGTCTTTTTTTTTTTTTTTTGAGACGGAGTCTCGCTCTTTCGCCCAGGCCGGACTGCAGTGGCACTATCTTGGCTCACTGCAAGCTCCGCCTCCCGGGTTCACGCTATTGTCCTGCCTCAGTCTCCTGAGTAGCTGAGATTACAGGTGCCCGCCACCACACCCAGCTAATTTTTTGTATTTCTAGTAGAGACAGAGTTTCACCGTGTTAGCCAGGATGGTCTCAATCTCCTGACCTCGTGATCCGCCCACCTCAGCCTCCCAAAGTGCTGGGATTACAGGCATGAGCCACCGAGCCCAGCCCCTCATTTAAATTTAACCCCTTCAGTACCCTAAGAGGCAGATGCTTTTGTCCTTTCCATTTTGCTGAGATCCACCAAGTCATGGGAAGGATGCGTGACTCACCCATGCTGCTGGTCAGTGAGTGCAGACGCAGGATTCTATAGGAGAATTGGGTGGTGGATCTCTAGGGGAATAGTGTGGTGGTTCAAATCCAAAGCCTGTCTGCCTGGATCCACATTCCGGCTCTGCTTCTCCTGCATTGCTGACTCTGGAAAGCTGCTTAAATTCTTTGTGACCCAATTTCGCCTTCCTAAAATGGAGACAAGAGTACACAGTCCCAGTCTCGTATATTTGATGTGGGGTTTAAATGACCTCATGTATGTAAAATGCTTAGAGCAAAGCCTGACACATAGGAGTATTTCATTTTATGTTAATCATATTTTTAGGATCATTATTGAGTTCACACCCTGAACAACTCACCATTCATTTAATGCATATTCATGGGACTTCCTGTATGCCAGGCACTATACTAGTTCTTATCCTTTGACTTTTTTGTTTGTTTGTTTTTTTGAGACAGAGTTTTGCTCTGTTGCCCAGGCTGGAGTGCAGTGGTGTGATCTCGGTTCACTGCAACCTCCACCTCCCAGGCTCAAGCGACTCTCCTCCCGAGTAGCTGGGACTACAGTTGCGTGCCACCATGCCTGGCTAATTTTTGTATTATTGGTAGAGACAGGGTTTCACCATGTTGGCCAGGCTGGTCTTGAACTCCTGACCTCAAGTGATCCACCGCCTCAGCCTCCCAAAGTGCCGGGATTACAGGTGTAAACCACCGTGCCCAGGCTGATGTTGTTCTTTGACATCGGTGTTCACCATAAGTTGGTTAAAAACAAACTGAAAAAGGGAATCTATCTATCTCCAACCTCCAAATGGCTAACTAAAGGTGTGAGATGGGTCTGAGTGTTACTTCTCCAGTGGGTCTGCTAAGCTTTCTCTCTAAAAAACAAAAACAAAACTCCTGATATGTAGCATTTGCCAATTCCTGTGGTGTAAATGTTCCCACCATGGCCAAACTTCAAGCTACCAACATGAGGTCACTGAGCACAGAGTTGGAAGAGAGGTGCAAAATTGGCTCTCGAGAGGTATTGGCTGCCATTGGAGCCCATGGCTGCCATTTCTATTAATGAAATATCCCTGCAGGTCATCTGTATTTTTTATGTTATAACTAGGGACTTTGTTGTACAGCTAAACATTCCCCCTGCTTCTACTCTTTTGCAGACCAGTTAAGGAATCTTCTGACCCTGAGAGGTAAGCATCCTACTTCGTCGTGAATCCCTAATGATAATATGGACTGCACACTTGCTTGAGGCCAGCCATTGTCCTAAGAACATTACGTGTATGATTCATTTGGTGCCCATTTGAACTCTTTTTGTGGTATTTCAAAGATTTCATCTTGATTTGGATCTGTTGCTGGAGAGGTAATGTGATCTTTTGGGGGTGTGCTGTAGAACCATGTTTTATCATATTACCAAAGTTACTTTTCTAGTTCCTTCTCATTTGAGTAGACTATTTCTTTTAATTATTCTTGAATTTATGTTTGATTTGACTTTTTTTTTTCTTTTTTCCACTTAAGGATGTGACTTTAATGTCCGTAGCTAATTATAGCCTAATTTGGTCCTTGGTGCTTTCAGGGGTGAAGACTGTAAGAGTTCCTTGGATATAGGGAGTCTGTGTGTGATGGCTTTCTCCGATGCTGGTTGTGGAAGCAATGTGCTCATTGTGTGAGCAAGTTCGCTGTTGCCTACAGGGTTGGAATGGTCGAAGTCTCTTGAAGCTTAACTCCTTCCCCACATGGCATGCAATTTTTTCCCCCAGTATTTTACTGGCTGGTGTGATGGTTCAGGTTTCAGGTCTGTAGGGGAGGTGTGTCTGCATAGGAAGTGATTGTGGCTAAAGCATGTGAGTAAATGCAACACCCAGTGGTGAGCAAAGGTCCCAGCCTTGACAGAGGTGACTGGAGGACCTCTCAGTGAGTTGCACTGAGATTTTTTTTTTTTTTTTTTTTGAGACAGAGTTTGGCTCTTGTTGCCCAGGCTGGAGTGCAATGGCATGATCTCAGCTCACCCCGCAACCTCTGCCTCACGAGTTCAAGCGATTCTCCTATCTCAGCCTCCCGAGTAGCTGGGATTACCGGCACTTGCCACCAAGCCCAGCTAATTTTGTATTTTTAGTAGAGACGGGGTTTCTCCATGTTGGTCAGGCTGGTCTCGAACTCCCGACCTCAGGTGATCTGCCCAACTTGGCCTCCCAAAATGCTGGGATCACAGGCGTGAGCCACCGCACCTGGCTGTGCACCAAGGTCTTATCAGGTGGAAGGGTTGGAGCCACTTCAGCTCCCCTGCCAGGTCAGCCGGAATGCCATCCACCTCTCAGACACACTCGTGATCCAGTGCTCTAGCTATTCAGATCAGACGGGCACCTCTTTTCATCTGTAGGAATGTTGGTGTTCCAAGTAGAGAGGAATTGTGAATCTGTCTCTTGTGCAAGCCTAAACCTAGAGGGTGCTCCTCCTGCGGGGATGCCGTCACCCTGATGTGTTCCAGAAAGACTGTCGACAGTTGCACCCATGCTGAGCTCCCACGGGAGAAGCCCCAGCTGTGCCTGTGGCAATGGAAGAGAGAGGAAAGATATCCCCTTCTCCAAGACCCTTCGCTCACACCAGGGCTGTCTGATGGTTGGGTTAGAGCTGTGGACTTTCCCTGCTAAGCCCAGCACTAAAACTGTGCCCCTGCTGAAAGAAACTTCCCACCAGCAGAAAGATCTGATTTTCAAGGCCTGCTGTCCAGATTCTTTTGTCCCGTGGGGTGTTCCCTTGACATGGTGCACTCCCCATTCCCGTAGGATAGGAGTCACTGGGCACCAGACTACAGTGAGTGTTGTTCCTCTGGGTCTAGCCACCCAGTGAAGCTTCCACACTTCAGGCTGGTTCTGGGGAACGTCTGCAAGGAATCCGATAATGTCACCTGTCCTCGAGACTCCCAGCAGTGGGTAGCAGCACCAGCTCTAATGGGGGTGGCAGGAGAGAGACACAGGCTCTGTGAGATTCCTGTTATAGGTAGCCTTAGTATATTGGCTTCCTTGAATGCTAGTTACGGTGGTAATGAACGGATCACGTGGACAGACTCAGGACCTCCTGGTTAGCCAGAGTGGTGCACGCAGTGGTGACAGCTGAGGACATACAGCCGTTTTCTCCTTCCTGGGGGCAGTGTTATCCTACCAGGAGATGCTGTCATGGACTGTGTTGGTTGGCCTCCACCCAGCAGGTGGAGCACCAGCTGCAGGAGTAGCAGTGGGGATGTTCACTTGCCCTATGTTGCCCAGGGTGGCTACTCTTGTTTCTCAGGCAATGGGCAGAGCCATAGAGTTCCCCAAAGTTTCTATCCTTTGTATTAAGCCACCAGGACGGGGGTGGCAGGGCAAAGCCAGGTGTGGGCCGGATCAGGCAGTTTTGTGCTCTAACTCTCCCTGTGCGGGGCAAGCAGCAATCCCTGTTGGGTATCGGGGGCGCAGTTGGTTTCCAGGCCAGTGTGCTGATAATTCAGAGAGGAGTCTTTCTGCCTCTGCTGCACAGAAGAGTTTGTGCAGGGAGCGGGGAGTGGCAGGTGGCAGTAAGCCCCACGCAGATCCCACACACTTGGCAAGGCAGATCTCCTCCCACCCTGTTCCACTGGCAGCGGCGAGCTAAGGTCCAGGCAGCCTGCGCTCAGAACTTGCAAATGCCTCCAAGTCATAAGCTTTCCCTGCAGAGATAGCAGAGATAGCAACCACTGCTTTCAGGCCATACCCCTCCCCATCTATCCCACCCAGCCATGTGCCAGCATCCTGCATACACGTGACTGCAGCTTGCTTTTCGCTTACCCCATGCCCCAATCCCAGCCCTGGCCAAGGAAGTTCATCTGCACCCACAGTTATCTAGTGAAACCCAGTTGCAGTCTTCTTTCAACCTGCCACCACCCCCTAAACTTTTTGGCTGACCACTGCAGGGTGCCCTGTGAGGAACAGTAAGTAATGGCTTCCCTAGGTCCATACTGGGATCTGGGAGTACATGCAGGGTTCTTCCCGCAGCTCCTACTTATATTCCATGAACCTCCCCAAGTCATATCCTGCACTGAATAGGGTTAAGGCCTTGCCCCAAAGACTGGACTTTCAGGCTCCCTGGTGTGGTGGGCGCATGTATCCCGCAGTCTTTCCCCGTCTCACACCCCGGGGACTCGCAGCCCTTCACTTGAGTCACAGTATAGGCTGCAGCCCGTCAGTTCCTTCAAAGGGACGGTGGATTCCTTCAGATTTCCTGTCCAATTCCTGAATCACTTCTTGGAAAAAAAAAGTTCACAGTGTGAATCTCTACACAGTGTTTTGTCCTTCCAAGTGGGAGGGGTATGCCAGCAATGCCTCTCATCCAACATGTTTACTGTCCTGCTCTTTTGTAGAAGGAGAGCAAAGACTTTCCAGAAGTGCCCCCAGCAATGTGCATGGGCCAGAGCTTGACCTTCCCCTAGCTGCAAGGGAGGCTGGGAAATATTTGCCCTTCCTGCCTGTGGGCTGAGAAATGTTGGCATGGAAGGGAGCTTGAAATGGGCCTTGGAGTAGCCAGTCTACAGTGTCTGGCTGGCTCCACCCATAGAAGGTTCATGAGGACAAATCTATCTTGTTTACTGCTCTATTCCAGCAGCCAAAAGAGTGCCCACTAATTGCTTCATACATATTTATGGAATGGAAGAATGATCTTTCTTCCTGCTACAGATCCCTGCAGTGCTTTATACCAGTCTGCTGGTGCTTTGAATATCAAGCATGACAGTCACATGATGGAGAATGTTTGAATTTTATTACTATTTTCTTAGGAGATGTATGGAGAAGGACTGTTGCAAATGCTAAATACATTGGACGCCGTATTTTTGGTGAGTATTTGTGGAACAGCAAGGTCAAAGCCTAGAGATATTTTATGCAAGGAGATTCACAGTACTTTTCCTACTTATGGCAGAAGAGAGACCTGTATGTAATTGTTCTAGCAACTGCATTTCCTGACATTTATTCTCATGTAACTGGGCAGCCAGGATGACCACAGAGTGGATGAGAGTACAGACCCCCTTGGAAGGAATGTTGCTTTGGTACATGTGAGCTTTGTGACCTCTGAAAAGTTCCTTAACCTCTCTGTGCCTCAGTTTCTGCCTCTGTGCCATGCGGGTGATAATAATAGTAGTTATGATGAATGAGTTAATTCATCAAAAGCACACAGGACAGTGCCTTGCAGATAAAGGCACTCAGTAAACATTAGCAATCTGACTGGATGCAGTGGCTGACACCCATAATCCAACACTTGGGAGGCTAAGGCGGGCAGATCACTTGAGGCCAGGATACAGTGGCTCACACCTATAATCCCAGCACTTTGGGAGGCTGAGGTGGGTGAATCACTTGAGGTCAGGAGTCTGAGACCAGCCTGGCCAACATGGTGAAACCCCATTTCTACTAAAAATACAAAAATTAACCAGGCGTGGTGGTGCATACCTGTAGTCCCAGTTAGTCGGGTGGCTGAGGCAGGAGAATTGCTTGAACCTGGGAGGCAGGGGTTGCAGTGAGCCGAGATCGCATCACTATGCACTAGGCTGGGCAACAGATCGAGACTGTGTCTCAAAAAAAAAAAAAAAAAAAAAGAAAGAAAGAAAAAAAGAAAAAGAAAAAAAAGCAGACAAAATTTATTGACTATTCAAAAATCTGAAAAAGATGAAGCAGAAGCTTGACCTAACCGACACGTATCAGGACTCAGCTTTCTATCACATTTTCAGCACATGTGGAAAAATTGAATTTTGATTTGATCTCAAGTAAAAATGTATAACATGTATAATATTTTAATTATAGGGATTAACTCTGCTACTATTAGGTAATAATATTTTAAAATATTATATTAAGTTTTTTTGTTTTTTTGAATTTTTACTTCAATAGCTTTTGGGGGTACAAGTGGTTTCTGTTACATGATGAATTATGTAGTAGTAAATTCTGAGATTGTAGTCCACCCATCAGTGTATGTTTTAGAGTATGTTGCACTCAATATGTAGTTTTTTGGTTTTGTTTTTTGAGACAGTCTCGCTCTGTTGCCCAGGCTGAAGTGCAGTGGAGGGATCTCATCTCATTACAACCTCTGTATCTTGGGTTCAAGTGATTCTCCTGCCTCAGCCTCCCAAGTAGGTGGGACCACAGGCACGCACCACCATGCCTGGCTAATTTTTATATTTTTAGTAGAGATGGGGTTTTGCCGTGTTGGTCAGACTGGTCTCGAACTTCTGAGCTCAAGTAATCTGCCTGCCTCGGCCTCCCAAAGTGCTGGGATTACAGGCATGAGCCACCACGCCTGGCCCCAGTGTGTAGTTTTTTGTCCCCACCTCCCTGCCCTCCCCTTTCTGAATCTCTGAAGTCCGTTATGCCACTCCGTATTGCCTTTGCATACCCATGGCTTAGCTCCCACTTGTAAGTGAGAACATGTGGTTTTGGTTTTACGTTCCTAAGTTACTTCACTTAGAATGATGGCCTCCATCCGAGTTGCTGTGAGGCGTTATTTTACTCTTTTTTATGGCTGAGTCATATTCCATGCTGTTTATATACCACATATTCTTCATCCACTCATTGGTCAATGGGCACTTAGGTGGATTCCATATCTTTCAATTGTGAATTGTGCTGTGATAAACATACATGGGCATGTGTCTTTTTTATTTTATTTTAATTGAGGCAGAGTCTTACTCTGTCATCCAAGCTGGAATGCAGTGGTGCAATCTCACTGCAACCTCTAACTCACAGGTTCAAGTGATTCTCTTGCCTCAGCCTCCCAAGTAGCTGAGACTACAGGCATGCACCACCATGCCTAGCTAATTTTTGTATTTTTAGTAGAGATGGGCTTTCAATGTTGGCCAGGCTGGTCTTGAACTCCTGACCTCTAGTGATCTGCCCTTCTCGGCCTCCCAAAGTGTTGGGATTACAGGCGTGAGCCACTGCACCCAGCCCACAAGTGTCTTTTTCATGTAATGGCTGCCTTTTCTTTGGGTAGATACCCAGTAGTGGGATTCCTGGATCGAATGGTAGATCTACTTTTAGTTCTTTGAGGAATCTCCATACTGTTTTCCAAAGAGGTTGTACTAATTCACATCCCCACCAGCAGGGTATTAGTGTTCCATTTTCACCACATCCACACCAACATCTATTGGTTTATTTGAATTTTTATCAATAGCCATTCTTGTGGGAGTAAAATGGTATCTCATTGTGGCTTTAATTTGCATTTCTTTAATGATTAGTGATGCTGACCATTTTTTCATATGTTTCTTGGCCACTGGAATATCTTCTTTTGAGAAATGTCTATTCATATCGTTGGGATGCTTTTCGGTGGGATTATTTGTTTTCTTCTTGCTGATTTCTTTGAGTTCCTTATAGGTACTGTATAATAGTCTTTTGTGGATGCCTAGTTTGCAAATATTTGCTCCCATTCAGTGGGTTGTCTGTTTATTCTGATAATTATTTCCTTTGCTGTACAGAACGTATTTAATTTACTCAGGTCCCATATATTTATTTATTTTTGAGACAGTCTTACTCCGTCACCCAGGCTTCAGTGCAGCAGCACGATCTCAGCTCACTGCAATCTCCACCTCCCAGGCTCAAGCAATTCTCCTGCCTCAGCCTCCTGAGTAGCTGGGATTACAGGCATCCAACACCATACCTAGCCAATTTTTGTATTTTTAGTGGAGATGGGGTTTCATCATGTTGGTCTGGAACTCCTGACCTCAGGATCCACCCACTTGGGCCTCCCAAAGTGCTGGGATTACAGGCGTGAGCTACCATGCCTGTTCCCATACATCCATATGTTTACTTTTGTTTTTGTTGCATTTGCTTTTGGGCTCTTGATTGTGAACTCATTGCCTAAGTCAACATCTAGAAGAGTTTTTCTGATGTTATCTTCTATAATTTGTATGGCTTCTGGTCTCATATTTAAGTCTTTGATGCAAATTCACATTGAATTTGTGAGTTGATTTTTGTATAAGGTAAGAAATAAGGATCCAACTTCATTCTCCTACATGTGGCTTGCCAGTTATCCCTGCACCATTTGTTGAATAAGGTGTCCTTTCCTCCACTTCATATTTTTGTTTGCTTTGTCGAAGATCAGTTGGCTGTAAGTATTGGCTTTATTTCTGGGTTCTCTATTCTGTTCCATTGTTCTACATGCCTACTTTTATACCAGTACTATGCTGTTTTGGTAACTATAGGCTTGTAGTATAATTTGATTGGGTAATGTGATGCCTCCAGATTTGTTCTTTTTGCTTAGTCTTGCTTTGGCTATGCGGGCTCTTTTTTGGTTCATATGAGTTTTAGGATTGTGGCTGGGCATGGTAGCCACACATCTGTAACTTTGGGAGGCCAAGGTGGGTGGATCACCTGAGGTCAGGAGTTCGAGACCAGCCTGGCCAACATGGCGAAACCCTGTCTCTACTAAAAATACAAAAATTAGTCAGGCATGGTGCATGCACCTGTAATCCCAGTTATTCGGGAGGCTGAGGCAGGAGAATTGCTTGAACCTGGGAAGCAGAGGTTACAGTGAGCCGAAATCAGCCATTGCACTCCAGCCTGGGTGACAGAGCGAGACTATGTCTCAAAAAAAAAAAAAGAATTTTAGGATTTTTTGGTTCTGTGGAAAATGATATCATTTTGATGGGAATTACATTGAATTTGTAGATTGCTTTTGGCAGTATGGTCATTTTCACAATATTGATTCTACCCATCCATGAGCATGGGATGTGTTTCCATTTGTTTGTGTCATCTATGATTTCTTTCAGCAGTGTTTTGTAGTTTTCCTTGTAGTGGTCTTTCACCTCCTTGGTTAGGTATATTCCTGAGTATTTTATTTTATTTTTTTTGCAGTTGTTGTAAAAGGAGTTGAGCTCTTGATTTGAATCTCAGCTTGGTCATTGTTGGTGTACGTAGCAGTGCTACTGATTTGTGTACATTGATTTTGTATCCTGAAACTCTACTGAATTCATTCATTAGATCTAGGAGCTTTTTGGATGAGTCTTTAGGGTTTTCTAGGTGTACAATCATATCATCAGTGAACAGTAACAGTTTGACTTCCTCTTTACCAGTTTAGATGCCCTTCATTTCTTTCTCTTGTCTGATGGCTCTGACTAGGACTTCCAGTACTATGTTGAATACAAGTGGTAAAAGTGGGCATCCTTGTCTTGTTCCAGTTCTCAGGGGGAATGCTTTAAACTTTTCCCCATTCAGTGTAATGTTGGCTGTAGGGTTTGTCATAGATGGCTTTTATTACATTGAAGTATGTCTCTCGTATACTGATTTTGTTGAGGGTTTTAATCATAAAGGGATGCGGGATTTTGTGAAATGCTTCTGCATCTCCTATGATTTTTGTTTTTAATTCTGTTTCTGTGATGTATCACATTTGTTGACTTGCGTATGTTAAGCCATCCTTGCATTACTGGTATGAAACACACTTGATCACATCATGGCAGATTTCAAGCTACCAACATGAGGTCACTGAGCACAGAGTTGGAAGATGGATACAAAATTAGCTCTCACAACAGACTACAATCCATGGCTGCCACTTCTACTAAAGAGATGTCCCTGCAGGTAATCTGTATTTTCTATAACTGGTGACTTTACTGTACAGTTAAACATTCCCCCTGCCTCTGTTCTTTTGCAGCCCCGTTACTGAGGCTGCAACAAAGTTTGCAAAGGGAACGTCCTGTCCTGGAAGGTAAGCATCCTACTTTGTCATGAATCCCTAATGATAGTGTAGACTGCACACTGGCTTGAAGCCAGCCATTGTCCTAAAAACTGTACGTGTCTGATTCATGTAGTGCTCCTTTGGGAATGGAGAGGAACATGGACTCTCACAGGTGCCCAAGGCCACGCAGCCAGGTGGAAGCAGGATCAGAGTTCAAACTGACACGCTGTAACCATATGCATGTAGGGTATATCTATGCACTGTAACCATGTGCATAGATATACCCTAGGTATGCCTAGGATCCAAGTGTCAGAAGCAGAAAATGGGAACAGCCTGAGGCAATTAGCAAATTGAGAGGAAAAATACTTCCCAAAACTACATGGGCTGAGAGTCTTGAAGGAGCCAGACTTGACCCATGGTGGGAGTATGGAGAACAAGAACAAAGTATCAGATGAATTCTGTATGGAGAAGTTAGATTATATTATGGAGGAGACTATATTTGTTCAGGAGAGGTTGTACTGCACAAAGAAACCACAAATTGCTATGACTTAAGGCACAAAGGGTTTATATTTTGCTCACCCAAAAAGCAATATGGGTTGAGTGTTCCTACAGGGCACCTTGGCTCCATGTGGGGACTTAGGCATCCAAGCTGCTTGCGTCTCTTTTTTCTTTCTTTTCTGTTTTTTTTTTTTTTTTTCTTTTTTTAAAGACAAAGTCTAGCTCTGTCGCCCAGGTTGGAGTGCAGTGGCAGTATCTCAGCTCGCTGCAACCTCTGCCTCCCAGGTTCAAGCTTTTCTCCTGCCCCAACCTCCCAAATAGCTGGGATTACAGGCACCTGCCATCACACCTGGCTAATTTTTGTATTTTTAGTAGAGACGAGTTTTCACTATGTTACCCGGGCTGCTCTCGAACTCCTGACCTCAAGTGATCTGCCTGCCTGGGCCTCTCAAAGTGCTGGGATTACAGGCATGAGCCACCACGCTGGGCCAAGCTGCTTGAATCTCATTGCTTCTCCTCTTGGCACAAGGTCTCCTTGTCTGTTCTATGAGAGGAGAGAGCTGGAGAGCCACAGAAGGCCTTTTGTAGCCAGGCCTGGAAGTAGCGGGCACCAGCTCCACACACCTCCTGTTGGCCAGGATCAGTCACATGACCCCAACCTAACTACAGCGGGGGCTGACAAAGGTGGTCTCCCTTCCATTTGTGGAAGATGCAACTGTGGTGAACACAGCAGGGTACTCTTGCTTTTTCACAGGCCAACAGTCAGGTATGGCGTGAAGGTAGGTCCTGAGCACAGCCCTGCATCCACTTCATGCCTCACTCCCTGTTTTAGTTGTGAAGGCTGCTAGAGCAAAGTGCCATACATAGGCTGGCTGGCTTACCCACTACAGAGATTTATTTCTCAGTTCTGGAGGCTGGAAGTCCAAGATCAGAGTATCAGTAGGGTTGGATTCCTGGGAACCCGCTTCTGGGTTGCAGAGAGCCAACTTCTTGCCACATGACACGCTTTAATATTGTTTTTTGACATCAGCATTCACCATATGCTGGTTATAGAAAAGTCTGGAAGGAGAATCTATCTCCAACCTACAAATGGCTAACGAACGTTATGGGATGGTAGGCTGGTGACTGTGCCACTGCACTCCAGCCTGGGCGACAGAGTGAGAACTTGTCTCAACAACAACAAAGAAATATCAACCCCAAGGTGATGGTATTAAGAGATGGGGCCTTTGGGAGGTGTTGAGAGCATGAGGGTAGAGCCCTCTTGATTCGGATTAATCCCTTATAAAAGAAGCCTCAGAGAGCTCACTCCAAGGAATGCGGTGAAGACTGAAGGGTAGAATTTATGCAAAATGCTCCAAGATAAGCCTGGCTTATCATAAGCTCAGCAAATGTGAGCAGAGCTATTATCAGTGTGTGTGTGAGAGAGAGAGAGTTGAGCATCATCTAATTCATGAGTATGGATGAAAATAAAAGGGGGGGTACCAGGCATGGTAGCTCAATGCCTGTAATCCCAGCACTTTGGGAGGCCGAGGCGGGTGGATCACTTGAGGTCAGGAGTTCGAGACCAGCCTGGCCAAAATGGTGAAACCTTGTCTGTACTAAAAATACAAAAATTAGCCGGGCCTGGTGGTGGTGCACGTCTATAGTCCGAGATACTCCAGAGGCTGAGCCAGGGGATTCGCTTGAAACTGGGAGGCAGAGGTTGCAGTGAGCTGAGATTACCCCATTGCACTCCAGCCTGGGCAATAGAGCAAGACTCTGTCTCAAATAAATAAATAAATAAATAAATAAGAGAAGACTTTGCCTCAAACCCTGAATAAGATGAGCATGTAAAAGATGAGTAGAGGTGGAGGCAGAGGTGAAGGAGCTAGAATAAAGAGGCCAGAAAGTCAGAGAGAGCAAGGTAACATGGAGGTCAGCAGAAGGCAAGGGGAGAGAGGGTCACCTGGAGAAGGAGGTCACCTCGGGAGGAACTGCAGGGCATTACAGAAGGTGAGGCAGAACAGGGTCTGTGGTGTTCTCGGCAGGGTACTTAGACAGCATCTGAGACCACCTGGGTTTCTTGACGTAGATGAAGGCGGTGAGCCTAATTACAACTGGCTGACTGAGATGCTCGAGAATTGGACCAGGACCTCCCTGGAAAAGCAGGAGCAGCCCGATGAGGACCCCGAAAGTAAAGGTACCGTGCCTAGTATAATAAGTGTCATCAACAGTAAGTGCCACCAACCTTCTCTCTCCTCTTGCTCTTCCCCACCCCTGTGGGCCAGTCCTGCAGGGGACATGACCCGATGTCCCACTGGTACAGTTTGGATGCTTGCTCCCTTCCAAAATCTCATGTTGAAATGTAATCCCCCAATGTAAATTAGTTCAACCATTGTAGAAGACAGTGTGGCAATTCCTCAAGGATCTAGATCCAGAAATACCATTTGACCCAGCCATCCCATTACTGGGTATATGCCCAAAGGAATAGAAATCGTTCTGTTAGAAAGATACAGGCACGTGTATGTTCACTGCAGCACTATTCACAATAGCAAAGACATGGAATCAACCCAAATGCCCATCAATGATAGACTGGATAAAGAAAATGTGGTACATATACACCATGGAATACTATGCAGCCAGAAAAAGGAACAAGATCATGTCCTTTGCAGGGACATGGGTGGAGCTGGAAGCCATTATCCTCAGCAAACCAATGCAGGAACAGAAAACCAAACACCACATGTTCTTACTTATAAGTGGGAGCTGAATGATGAGAACACATGAACACAGGGAGGGGAACAGCACACACTGGGGCCTGTTGGGTGGGGGTGGGAAGAAAAAGAGCACCAGGATAAATAGCTAATGCATGCAGGGCTTAATACCTAGGTGATGGGTTGATAGGTGCAGCAAACCACCATGGCACATGTTTACCTGTGTAACAAATCTGCACGTCCTGCACATGTATCCCAGAACTTAAAATTAAATTAAATTAAAAGAAAAAGAAACGTAATCCCCAGTGTTGGAGGTGGGGCCTGGTGGGAGGTGATTGGATCAGGGGGACGGATCCCTCCTGAATGGCTTAGCGTCATCCTCTTGGTGATTAGTGAGTGCTTGCTCTGAGTTTATGTGAGATACAGTTGTTTAGAAGTGTGTGGCACCGTCCCCCTCGCTCTCTTCTCCTCTTCCCGACAAGTGATGTACCTGCTCTCCCTTCACCTTCCATCATGATTGGAAGCTTCCTGAGGCCCCACCAGAAGCAGATGCCAGCACCATGCTTCCTATACAGCATCCAGAGCTGTGAGCCAATTAAACCTCTTTTCTTTATAAATTATCCAACCTTGGGTACTTCTTTATAGCAATGCAAGAATGGACTGATACGCCCACCCTCTATCCATCCACCCGGCCATCCATCCATTTAGGATGTCTTGAGTCATTAGCATGAAATAATAACTCTCCTAATAGCAGGCTGGGGGTAGGGGTGACAAAGGGGAAATGACAGACCAGGTGCCTGCCTGGAGGACTCACAGTCTAGAGGACGAGATGGAGAATAGACAGGTAAGTTCATCCCCGACTGGGCTAATTTCTATGGAGAGGGCTCGGTGCAGTGGCTCGCACCTGTAATCCCAGCACTTTGGGAGGCTGAGGCAGGAAGATCACTTGACCCCAGGAATTCAAGACCAGCTTGGGCAACATAGCAAGACCCCATCTCTACAAAAATTTTTTGTAAAAAATTAGCTGGGCATGGTAATGCGTTCCTGAGACAGGATTTGATGCTCCAGTCTGGGGGCAGAATTTCTTCTCTACAAACTGTTTTGCCCTTAAAGCCTTCAACTGAGTAGATGAGGCCCACCCACATCACTGAGAATAATCTTCTTGAAGTCAACTAATTGTAGCCGTCAACCACATCTACAAAATACCTTCACAGCCACACCTAGGCTAGCATTTGATTAAATAACTGGTTACTGTGGCCTAGCCTAGATGACATGTTAAACCATCCTCCCAACATCCTAAGTGCTATAGGCAGACTCTTATTTATTCCTCATAAAACTACAAGGGATAGGCGTTACTCTCTTCCTGGTTTTACAGATGAGAACAGAGATGTTAAGTAACTTGCTCGGGGGCCCGGTGCAGTGGCTCATGCTCATAATCCTAGCACTTTGGGAGGCCAGGGTGGGTGGATCACCTGAGGTCAGGAGTTTGAGACCAGCCCGGCCAACATAGCAAAACCCCTTCTCTATTACAAATACAAAAAAAAAAAATAGTTAGCCGGGCGTAGTGGTGGGTGCCTGTAGTCCTAGCTACTCGGGAGACTGAGGCGGGAGAATCCCTTGAGCCCGGGAGGCGGAGGTTGCAGTGAGCTGAGATTGCACCGCTGCACTCCAGTCTGAGACTCTGTCTCAAGAAAAAAATAAATAAATAAAAGTAACGTGCTCAGGGTCTCACAGCTAATGAGTGATGAAGTCAAATTCAAATCGGCATCTAGCTCAAGCACCCACCTCCCTACTAGCTTTGCTCTCTTACCGCTCTGCCCATGCTGTTCAGAGAGGATTGAGGCTGGAAAACCAGGAAGAAAGAAATCAGAGCGGGAGGCTGTGTTGCATCCTGGATGGAAAAGATACTGCATAAGGTCCTGGTAGCTGAGACTGGGAGGAGCAGAGACACTGAAAAGATGATCAGGAGGTGGAACTGGCAGGTCTTGGTGATACTCCGGTGTGAGGGTGAGGAAGAGGCAGAAGTCTGGGGTGATGACCTGATTTACGCCTCAGTGACTTGGCAGCCCCTTGGGCTGAGGACAGGAGCACAGGAAAATGTGCTGGGCACTTTAGAACAGCTCCTGGGGCCGGGCGCGGTGGCTCAAGCCTGTAATCCCAGCACTTTGGGAGGCCGAGGCGGGTGGATCACGAGGTTAGGAGATCGAGACTATCCTGGCTAACATGGTGAAACCCCGTCTCTACTAAAAATACAAAAAACTAGCCGGGCGTGGTGGCGGGCGCCTGTAGTCTCAGCTACTTGGGAGGCTGAGGCGGGAGAGTGGCGTGAACCCGGGAGGCGGAGCTTGCAGTGAGCCGAGATCACGCCACTGCACTCCAGCCTGGGAGACACAGCGAGACTCCGTCTCAAAAAAAAAAAAAAAAAGAACAGCTCCTGGAACATTCTGCATCGTCCTCCCCCATGAACCTAAAGGAAACAAGCTCATTTCTCCAGGCACACAGGTGATCATACAGTCATTAAATCTCCATCTTTTCTTTGCCAACTCCCTCCACCCCAATGGCCCAAAGTCGTGTCTCACCAGTGGCTCAATGATAGATGCTGGATCAGATGGCCAGGACCCTGAGGCCCCTGGATGCCAACCTTTCCCAGCTTGCTGGATTTGTCAGCTCTCCTGCCCTAGCAAATACTACAGGCGGGGTGGCTTCAACTAGAGGCTTTTTATTTTCTCACGGTTCTTTTTTTTTTTTTTTTTTTGAGATGGAGTCTTGCTCTGTCGCCCAGGCTGGAGTGCAGTGGCGAGATCTCTGCTCACTGCAAGCTCCGCCTCCCGGATTCACACCATTCTCCTGCCTCAGCCTCCCGAACAGCTGGGACTGCAGGCGCCTGCCATCACACCCGGCTAATTTTTTGTATTTTTAGTAGAGACAGGGTTTCACCGTGTTAGCCAGGATAGTCTCGATCTCCTGACTTCATGATCCGCCCGCTTGGGCCTCCCAAAGTGCTGGGATTACAGGTGTGAGCCACTGCGCCTGGCTTTTTTTTTTTTTCTTTTTTTGAGACAGGGGTTTCCCCATGTTGTCCAAGCTGGTCTCGAACCCCTGACCTCAAGTGACCCACCCACCTGGGCCTTCCAAAGTGCTGGAATTACAGGTGTGAGTCACTGTGCCCAGCCTTATTTTCTCACAATTCTGCAGGCAGGAAGTCCAAGATCAAGGTGCCAGTGGGGTCGGTTTCTCCTGAGGCCTCTCTCCATGGCTTGCAGATGAACTGTCGCTTTCTCACTGCATCCTCCCAGCCCGACCTTTCCTCTGTGCACATGCATTCTTGGTGTTTTCTTTGTTTTTTTTTGTTTTTGTTTTTGTTTTTTTGTTTTTTTTGATACAATGTCTCACTCTGTTCCCCAGGCTGGAGTGCAGTGGCACAATCATAGTTCACTTCAGCCTTGAACTCCCAGGTTCGAGTGATCCTCCTGCCTCAGCCTCCTGAATAGCTGGGACCACAGGCTTGCATTCATATGCCCAGCTAGTTTGCTTATTTTATTTTTTATTTTATTTTATTTTATTTTTGTAAAGATGCGGTCTTACTATCTTGCCCAAGCTGGTCTCCAACTTCTGGGCTCAAGCGATCCTCTCACCTTGGCCTTCCTAAGTCCTGGGATTACTCTGGTGCCTGGTGCTCTTCCTCTTCTCATGAAGACCCCAGTCCTATTGAATTAGGATCCCACTCTCATGACCTCAGTTATCCTGAATGACTCTCTTTTTTTAAATTTTTTTTAATTTTTTAGATTTTTATTTTTTATTTTTATTTTTTTATTTTACTTTATGTTCTAGGGTACCTGTGCACAACATGCAGGTTTGTTATATATGAATACATGTGCCATGTTGGTGTGCTGCACCCATTAACACATCATTTACATTAGGTATATCCCCTAATGCTATCCCTTCCCCTTTCCCCCACCCCACAATAGGCCCCAGTGTGTGATGTTCCCCTTCCTGTGTCCAAGTGATCTCATTGTTCAATTCCCACCTACGAGTGAGAACATGCGGTGTTTGGTTTTCTGTTCTTGCGATAGTTTGCTGACAATGATGGTTTCCAGCTGCATCCATGTCCCTACAAAGGACATGAACTCATCCTTTTTTATGGCTGCATAGTATTCCATGGTGTATATGTGCCACATTTTCTTAATCCAGTCTGTCATTGATGGACATTTGGGTTGGTTCCAAGTCTTTGCTATTGTGAATAGTGCTGCAATAAACATACGTGTGCATGTGTCTTTATAGCAGCATGATTTATAATCCTTTGGGTATATCCCCAGTAATGGGATGGCTGGGTCAAATGGTATTTCTGGATCTAGATCCTTGAGGAATCACCACACTGTCTTCCACAATGGTTGAAGTAGTTTACAGTCCCACCAACAGTGTAAAAGTGTTCCTGTTTCTCCACCTGTTGTTTCCTGACTTTTTAATGATGGCCATTCTAACTGGTGTGAGATATGGTATCTCATTGTGGTTTTGATTTGCATTTCTCTGATGGCGAGTGATGATGAGTGATGATAAGACGGAGTCTCGCTCTGTCATCAGGCTGGAGTGCAGTGGCACGATCTCAGCTCACTTCAGCCTCCACCTCCCAGGTTCAAGTGATTCTCCTGCCTCAGCCTCCCAAGTAGCTGGGACTACAGGCGCCCGCCACCATGCCCAGCTCATTTTTGTATTTTTAGTAGAGACGGGGTTTCACCATGTCCGCCAGGATGGTCTTAATCTCTTGACATTGTGATCTGTCCACCTCAGCCTCCCAAAGCGCTGGGATTCCTGGCATGAGCCACTGCCCCCGGCCCAGAATGACCTCTTTAAAGGCCCTGTCTCCAAATACAACCCCGTGGGGGATGAGGGCTTCCACGTTTGACTTTGGTGGGGGCAGAAACTACTCAGTCTCCTGTACTCACCTTGGCTGTCTTGGCTTCTTTCTCTAGGCTCAGTCAGTGACTTTTTGGATTTTGTGAGAAAAACAAGCATTTGCGCTTCAAAGTGGGAATGGGGAACCACTCACAACTTCCTGTACAAACACGGTGAGAAGACCGTCCTCCCACCGCCCTGGTCTGTCCGTGTGTGTGAATGGGCTGGAGTAGGGGAAGGGGTGGGGCCTGAAACAATCCCAGGCTGGTCCTTCACCAGAGCTTTGGAGCCGGGCTGGTGTCAACATGCCCAGGGGTCTGATTAGGGGAACCTTCGCTCGGTGGTGTGGTCCATACTGAAAAATGTGTGGCCTCGCTGCGAGTCCCAGTCATCGTGAAAAGCCTCACTGATGGTTTTCTCTGGTTTTGCAAAAATGCAAAAACCCTAATTTCTTGTCAGCTAGTCCTAGGACCTGGTCTTTAAAAAAACACTTCTATGAGCCAGCACAGTGGCTCACGCCTGTAATCCCAGCAGTTTGGGAGGCCGAGGTGGGTGGATCATTTGAGGTCAGGAGTTCAAGACCAGCTTGGCCAACGTGGTAAAACCCTGACTCTACTAAAAATACAAAAATTAGCCGGACATGGTGGCGGGTGCCTGTAATCCCAGCTACTCGGGAGGCTGAGGCAGGAGAGTCGTCTGAATCCAGGAGGCAGAGGTTGCAGTGAGCCGAGATCATCCCACTGCACTCCAGCCTGGCGACAGAGCGAGACACTATCTCAAAACAAACAAACAAAAAGAAACACTTGTATGGGTTTTCCCTTCATGGGGCTGACCCTGTCATTCGGGCGGAATTGATGTCAGGCTCCTGGGAACTCACACTAAGGCCATTTAATAGTCTCCATAAGCTGCAATGTTCATTGCTGGTGGAGATCACTCGTGTGTGTGTGTCTTGCTCTGTTTCCCAGGTTGGGAATGCAGTGGTGCAATCATGGCTCACTGCAGCCTCGGCCTTCCCAGCTCAAGCAATCCTCCCATTTCAGCCTCCCGAGTAGCTGGGAACACAGGCACACAGCATCATGCCCGGCTAATTTTTGTTTTTATTTTCCATAGAGATGGGGTCTCACTATGTTGCCCAGACTGATCTTGAACTCCTGGGCTCAAGCCAGCCTCCAACCTCGGCCTCCCAAAGTGCTGGGATTACAGGTGTGAGCCACCCCACACCTAGCCTTCCCCACTCTTTTGTTACAAGACTATAGTGAACATCTTTATGTTTGTGGCCCTGTTGCCCTTGTGCAAGTCAGGAAAAGGTGCATCTCCCAGGGCGGTGAATTCTAAAATGTGCCCCCTTGGCCAGGGCTGTGTGTGGCCTGGGAAGGGAACCCTGGCTGGATGTCAGTCCTGCTCACCTCTCCCGGGGTGCTTCCTGCCAGAAACACAGGACTTGAGCTGTGTCTGAGCACCATGCCACACAGCTGCCAGGTCTTATGGCCTCGGAATACACTTTCAAGCGTCGAGTCACTGGATCATGGCGATGAGTGTTTTAGCATCAAATTTCTCTCTGAAGGGTGTGGATGAAGTTGCTTTCTCAGTAGCAATATATGAGAGTGTAAACCAAAAATAAAATTCTAAGCCCCGCACCACCCAACCATCTGAATGGACCTCTCCTCTCAGCCAGGGCACTCCAAAGTTAACCTGAAAAATGGGTTCAGGCCATGATGGGAAATGGGGGTTGGACATGCCTCCTTATAACCCTCCTCTCTTTTGGAATTCAGAAAAAGCCAACTAGCAGTCATGTCAACACAGTTTTTTTGTTTTTGTTTTTTTTTTTGAGATGGAGTTTTGCATTTTTTGCCCAGGCTGGAGTGCAATGGCATGATCTTGGCTCACCGCAATCTAGGCCTCCCGAGTTCAAGCGATTCTCCTGCCTCCCGAGTAGCTGGGATTACAGGCATGCGCCACCACACCCGGCTAATTTTGTATTTTTAGTAGAGACAGGATTTCTCCTTGTTGGTCAGGCTGGTCTCGAACTCCTGACATCGTGATCTACCCACCTTGGCCTCCCAAAGTGTTGGGATTACAGATGTGAGCTATCTCAACACAGATTTTAAGTCTGATAAGAAACATTTACATTCTGTTGTCTCTGAAGCCTGCTACCTGGAGGCTTCATCTGCGTAATAAAACTTCGGTCTCCACGACCCCTTGTCATAACCCAGACATTCCTTTCTATTGCTAATAACTCTTTAAACCAATAGCCAATCATATATTTTTATTTTCCATTTATTTATTTATTTATTTGTTTAGTGATGGAGTTTCGCTCTGTCACCCAGGCTGCAGTATAGTGGCACTATCTTGGCTCACTGCAACCTCCACCTCCTGGGTTCAAGCGATTCTCCTGCCTCAGCCTCCTGAGTAGCTGGGATTACAGGCACCTATCACCATGCTCAGCTAATTTTTGTATTTTTAGTGGAGATGGGGTTTCACCACATTGGCCAGGCTGGTCTCGAACTCCTAACCTCAGATGATCCACCCACCTTGGCCTCCCAAAGTGCTGGGATTATAGGTGTACAGGTGTTAGCCACTGTGCCCAGCCATCAGTCAGAAAATTTTAAATCTACCTATAACCTGGAAGCACCCCCACCCCTCCTCACCCCTCACCTCCACCCCTCCACCACTTCAAGTTGTCTCACCTTTCTGGACCGAACCAAGGTATATCTTAGATGTATTTGATTGATGTCTCGTGTCTCCCTAAAATGTATAAACCTAGGCTGTGCCCCGACCGCCTTGGCCACACATTCTCAGGATCTCCTGAGGACTGCATCATGGGCCATTGGTCACTCACATTTGGCTCAGAATAAACCTCTTCAAATATTTTCCATAGTTTGACTCTTTTCATTGACAAGAGGAACCATTCCCAGCGGTACTATCCTAGTCTGCTCGGGCTGCTGTGACAAAATCCCACAGACTGGGTGACTTAAACAACAGACATTTATTTTCTCACCATTCTCAAGGCTGGAAGTCCAAAATCAAGGTGTCTGTGGGGTGGGTTCCTTCTGAGGCCTCTCTCGGCAGCTTGCAGACAGCGCCTTCTCCCTGCATCCTCGCATGGTCTTTGCTTCATGTGTATCTATGTTCTAATCCCCTCTTCTTAGAAGAGCACTATCATTCTATTGGAATGTTTCAAAGTTTTGTTATGCAGATGTGTGAGAGGCATTTGAACCAGAGTGACTCCATCTTGAATGAGGGCTAGGAAAAATGAGGCTCAGCCTTGCTGGGCTGTATCCCCAGGAAGTTAGGCATTCCTAGCCCCTAGGTGTTTATGGTTAAGGGAACAGATTAATAATGTTTACTAAATAGACTCAGACCCAGGAATGTCCTGATATCCTGATATCTTGAGAACAGAAGCATTCCTAATTTTGCTTTAAAAATAATAATATAAGTTCTTGCAAAATATGGTAATTGTGTTTTGTTTTTTTTGTTTTTGTTTTTCTTTTTTTGTTGTTGTTTTTTGTTTCTTGTTTTAGACAGAGGTTTGCTCTTTGTCACCCAGGCTGGAGTGCAGTGGAGCAATCTCGGCTCACTGCAACCTCTGTCTCCCAGGTTCAAGCGATTCTCCCGCCTCAGCCTCCCAAGAAGCTGGGATTACAGGCGTGCGCCACCACACCCTGCTAATTTTTGTATTTTTAGTAGAGACAGGGTTTCGCCATGTTGGCCAGGCTGGTCTCAAACTCCTGACCTCAGGTGATCCACCCGCCTCGGCCTCCCAAAATGCTGAGATTACAGGCATGAGCCACCGCGCCCAGCCAAAATATAGTAATTATGAAAATCAACCCTTTATCACAAACCCTTCTAGCAGAGCACATCTCCCCATGTTTTGTTGTTGTTGTTGTTTTCCTATATGTAACAAAAGAAGGAGGTGATGCATTCCTCCTCTGACTTTCGGGAACACCCTACTCTGTCTGTGGAGTAAGTGTTCTTTCACCCCTTTGCTTTCTTAACAGACTTGCTTTCACTTTGCACTGTGGACTCACCCTGAATTCTTTCTTGTGTGAAATCCAAGAACCCTTTCTTGGGGTCTGGATCGGGACCCCTTTCCAGTAACAGATGGAGGCTCCAGGTAGCAAGCTGCAGAGAGAATAGATCGGGAATGGTTCTTATCAGATTTAAGCTCTGTGTTGATGTTAAATGCTGGTCAGCTTTCCCTAAATTCCCAAAGGGAGGAGGGCGTTGTGAGGCATGTCTGACCCTCCCTTGGCCAGGACTAGGTTTTCAGGTTAACTTTGGAGTACCCTGGCCAAGAGGAAGGGTTCATTCAGATGGTTGAGGTGGTGGAGGGTGCTTATCATTTTATTTTTGGTTTATGCTGTGAAAGGAAAATAAATCTTGGGACCCCAAAATCACCAAGCCAAAGGGAAAAGTCAAGCTGGGAACGGCTTAGGGCAAACCTACCTCCCATTTGATTCAAAGTCACCCCTCTGCTCACTGAGATAAATGCATATCTGATTGCCTCCAGTTGGAAAGGCTAATCAGAAACTGGAAAGAATGTTGGCCGGGCTAGATGGCTCACGCCTGTAATCCCAGCACTTTGGGAGACTGAGGTGGGCAGATCACCAGGTCAGGAGTTCAAGACCAGCCTGGCCAAGATGGGGAAACCCTGTCTCTACTAAAAATACAAAAATCAGCCCAGCATGGTGGCGGGTGCCTGTAATCCCAGCTGCTCGGGAGGCTGAGGCAGAGAATCGCTTGAAGCCGGGAGGGAGAGGTTGCAGTGAGCTGAGATCGCGCCACTGCACTCCCGCCTGGGCGACAGAACGAGACTCCATCTCAAAAAAAAAATAGAATGCAACCATTTACTTCCTATCTACCTGTGACCTGGAAGCCCCTTCCCTGCTTTGAGTTGTCCCACCTTTCCAGACCGAACCAGTGTTCATCTTACATATATTGACGTCTCAGGTCTCCCTAAAATGTCGAAACCAAGCTGTGCCCCAACCGCCTTGGGCACATGTCATCATGACCTCCTGAGACTGCGTCACGGGCATGCGTCCTTAACCTTGGCAAAATAAACTTTCTACACTGACCGAGACCTGTCTCAGAAATACTGGGTTAACAACATTCTCACGTATTGCTGCTGAGAAGGCAGCTTTGTTTGGAACTTCACGCCAAAAACCCTATTAATTACTTCTTTAAAGACCCTGTCTCCAAATACAGTCACATTCTAAGGTACTGGGTGTAAGGGCTTTAACATGTGTTTGAATTATTTATTTGGAGATGGAGTCTCGCTCTGTCACCCAGGCTGGAGTGCAGTGGCGTGATCTCAGCTCCGTGCAACCTCCGCCTCATGGGTTCAAATGATCCTCCTGCCTCAGCCTCCCGAGTAGCTGGGATTACAGGCACACGCCGCCACGCCCAGCTAATCTTGGTATTTTTAGTAGAGACAGGGTTTCACCGTGTTGGCCAGGCTGATCTTGAACTCCTGACCTCAAGTGATCCGCCCGCCTCAGCCTCCCAAAGTGCTGGGATTATAGGCGTGAGGCACCACGCCTCAACATATGAATCAGGGCTTCAACATGTGAATCTGGGAAGAGACAGAAGTCAGCACCTAGTGGGCAACCTCACGACTGCTGTCTACACTGACAATAATCATCTTCCCATCCCCCTCCCTGCCTTCCATTTACAAGTCTTGTTTTCAGTCCCTGGAAGCAGCTGATCCTCTTTCTTCCTGGGCACCGCAGGTGGCATCCGGGACAAGACAATGAGTAGCCGGAGGCACCTCCACCTGGTGGATGCTGGTTTAGCCATCAACACTCCCTTCCCACTTGTGCTGCCCCCGACACGGGAGGTTCACCTCATCCTCTCCTTTGACTTCAGTGCCGGAGATCCTTTCGAGGTAATCGAGAAGGGCCTTGGGGCTGGTCCTGGGTGGGAGGTGGGCTGCAGTGAAGCTGACTTTGAGGAGGAACTGAGGACGCGGAAAGTGGAAAGTGGGCGGTGGGGAGGTGCTGGCTGGGAAGTCCTGAGAGCCAAATCAACTCACCCATTGCTCCCGAAGCACCCGCAGTCGGCCACATCCAACGAGCTTTTGATCCAAAGCCATCCCAGACCTTCCCGGGCCCCTCTTCCTGGCAGATGACGCTCCCCACTTCTGCGCCTGGCCTGCCCATTCATACCAGTTTGACCTGCGACAGTCTAGCTCCTCACCTGTGCACCTCCTTCCCCAGGCGTGCATGTCTCCAGCCCCGAGGGCGTGTCTTCCTGCTCATCTGGGCTTCCTGGGCAGATAGTGGCCCTCGATAAATGTTTGCTGAGTGAGAACATACGCAAGTGTATTCGTCCTTAGCATACATTGCACCTTCACCGTGACCACTAGGATCCGTTATCCCTGCCTTCATATCCCGAGTCTGCCACTTACCAGCTGTGTGGCCTGATCCAATGTATGTAACTTCTGTGCCTCTTGGTTTCCTCAGCTGTAAAACTGGGCTAACGATGGCTCCCCCAGGAGTTGTTCTGTGGTTTAAATTAATACTTGTTAATACATGTGAAGTGTTTAGCACAGTGCCTGCCATTTACTGTGGGGTTTATAAACGTTTTCTTCCTCTTCTTTCCTCTCCTCCCCTCCCCTCTCCTTCTCTGCCCTGCCCTGCCCTGCCCTCCTTTGGAGACTGGGTCTCACCCTAACGCCCAAGCTGGAGTGCAGTGGTGTGATCATAGCTCACTGCAGCCTCAACCTCCTGGGCTCAAGTGATCCTCCCACCTCACCCTCCCAAGTAGCTGGCACCGCAGGCACACACCACCACGCCAGGCTGGTTTTCTAAATTGTTTTAGAGACAGGGTCTTGCTATGTTGTCCAGGCTGGTCTTGAACTCCTGGCCTCAAGCAATTCTCCTACCACCCAAGGCTAGGATTACAGGCACAAGCCACCCTGCCCAGCTATTTTCTTTAAAAATATATACACATACAATATACATGTACATAATATGTAACTATTACATGATATATATCAATACATAGTAGTATATATAAAATAATCATGGTAAAACATATCATCTATTATATTTATGTGTAATATATATACTTATATTCACACACATCTATCAGTTTACATTCTATAATATGAATTAGGAATGTCCATCCTCCTCCCCATGCCATGAGCCAAAACCCACTTGTCACCATCTTTCTAGACCCTGGGCCTTGGAATACCCAGGCTTTCTGGTCTTAGGATTTCTGCTGAAATAAAGATCCCAAGACAATATGATAAAGGTGGAACTATCAAGGTCTTGGGAGTCCTTTTCTGCCAAATCTCTGCTGCATGACCCCAAGCGATAGGCTTAACCTCTGAGCCTCAGTTTTCTCATCCTGAAAATGGGAATCGTATCATCTGGCTCACAGGAGATCTGCAGAGCCTCGGCACCATGCCTGGTCCATAGCTGGTGTTCAGGATGAACAACAATGCGTATCTGGCGATGATGAGAATAGCAAGAGTAATGGTAAGAAAAACAGCAGCATTTGTTAAACTTCAATCAAAGATGACTTCGGAGACCTACGGTGTCCAGTACTGTGGTTGCTGGCCACATGTGGCATTTGAGCACTTGAGATGTGCCTGGCCCAAGATAAGGTGTGCTGTGAGGATAAAATACACCTCAGATGTTAATGACCGCATATGGAAAACGCATGTAGAAGACTTTATTCATGATTGGTATATTGATGTACTAGGCAGGTTTCTCCAGAGGGACAGAACCAATAGGACCTACGTCTAGATGAAAGGGAGTTTCATGATCACAAGGTGGAGCCCTACAATAGGCCGTCTGCAAGCTGAGGAAGAAACAAACCAATAGTGCCTCAGTCCGAGTCTGAAAGCCTGGAAAGTAGGGAAGCCCAGCCGGGCGCAGTGGCTCATGCCTGTAATCCCAGCACTTTGGGAGGCTGAGGCAGGTGGATCACCTGAGGTCGGGAGTTCGACCTCAGCCTGGCCAACCTGGTGAAACTCCATCTCTACTAACAATAGAAAATGTAGCTGGGCGTGGTGACGAGTGCCTGTAATCCCAGCTACTTGGGAGGCTGAGGCAGGAGAATCACTTGAACCCGGGAGACGGAGATTGCAGTGAACCAAGATTGCGCCATTGCACTCCAAGCTAGGCAACAAGAGCAAAACTCCATCTCAAAAAAAAAGAAAAAAAGTAGGGAAGCCCACGGTGCAGCCTTCGTCTGTAGCCAAAGGCCCTAGAGTCCCTGGCGAGCCTCTGGTGTAAATCTAAGCATCCAAAGTCCAAAAAACCTGGAATGTTATGTTCAAGGGCAGGAAACATCCAGCACGGGAGAAAGATGAAAGCCAGACGACCCAGCAAGCCAGCTTCTGCCTGCTTTGTTCTAGTCACACTGGCAGCCAACTGGAGGGTGCCCACCCACACTGAGGGTGGGTCTCCCTCTCCCAGTCCACCGACTCAAATGCTCATCTCCTCTGACAGCACCCTCACAGACACACCCGGAAACGATACCAGCTTTCTAGGCACCCTTCAATCCAATCAAGTCGACACCTAATATTCACCATCACACATCGAGGCAATCATACTTTTGACATATTGCATGAGATAAAACTTTTTCTTTCAAATGTGCTTAATGTAATTAGGTGGTTACAAATTAATAAACAGAAATTTAAGCAAGATATATCTGTAACAATTTAACAGAACCTGATCATCTAAGTTTTTTTCATTTTTCTCAAATTCATCTTTAATTATTTTTATGATGGGGCTTGTAAGCAAACTAACCAACATGTAGATGCTATAGTTGAATGTCAAATCTTTTTTGTTTGTTTGTTTTTGAGACGTGATCTTGGCTCACTGCAACCTCCGCCTCCTGGGTTCAAGTGATTCTCTTGCCTCAGCCTCCCGAGTAGCTGGGATTACAGGCGTGCACCACCATGCATGGCTAATTTTTGTTTTTTTAGTAGAGACGGGGTTTCACCATGTTGGCCAGGATGGTCTCGAACTCCTGACCTCAGGTGATCCGCCCACCTCAGCCTCCCAACGTGCTGGGATTATAGGCGTGAGCCACGATGCCCAGCCGAATGTCAGATCTTTAAAAGGTACTTATGAGAGTAAATTCCTCTGTAATACAATTATGAAGCACCTTCATGATATTTCTGTTTTATGTGTAGAAAAGTGGCTGGGTATGGTGGCTCACTCCTGTAATCTCAGTGCTTTGGGAGGCCAAAGTGGGAGGATCACTTGAGATCAGCAATTTGAGACCAGCCTGGGCAACATAGCAAGACCCCACCTCTACACAAATTTTTTTTTTTCTTTTGAGACAGAGTTTTGCTCTTGTTGCCCAGGCTGGAGTGCAATGGAGAGATCTCGGCTCACTGCAACCTCCGCCTCCCGGGTTCAAGTGATTCTCCTGCCTCAGCCTCATGAGTTGCTGGGATTACAGGCATGTACCACCATGCCCGGCTAATTTTTGTATTTTTAGTAGAGACGGGGTTTCTCCATGTTGGTCAGGCTGGTCTTGAACTCCTGACCTCAGGTGATCCACCCGCCTCAGCCTCCGAAAGTGCTGGGATTACAGTCGTGAGCCACCACATCCGGCCCAAAATTTTTTTTTTTAGTTAGATGGGCATGGTGGCTCACGCCTGTAGTCCCAGCTACTTAGGAGGTTGAGATGGGATCCCCTGGGCCTAGGAGCTTGAGACTGCAGTAAGCCATGATTGCACCACTGCACTCCAGCCTGGGTGACACAGCAAGATCCTGTCTCTAAAGATAAGTATATGTAGCAAAGTGTTAGAGTCAAATATTCAACTCAATATAAAATAAGAAGAAGAGGCCGGGTGCGGTGGCTCATACCTGTAATCCCAGCACTTTGGGAGGCAGAAGCGAGTGGATCACCTGAGGTCAGGAGTTCGAGACCAGCCTGGCCAACATGGTGAAACCCTAGATACAACTAAACTAAAAATACAAAAATTAGCCAGGCATGGCGGCACGTGCCTGTAATCCCAGCTACTGGGGGTCTGAGGCAGGAGGATCACTTGAACCTGGGAGGCAGAGGTTGCAGTGAGCCAAGATTGTGCCAGCCTGGGCAACAGAGTGAGACTCTGTCAAAAAAATAAAAGAAGAAGAAGAAGAGGAAGAAGAAGAAGAAGAGGAAGAAGAGGAAGAGGAAGAAGAGGAAGAGGAAGAAGAAGAGGAAGAGGAAGAAGAAGAAGAAGAAGAGAAGAGGAGGAGGTGGAGGAGGAGAAGGAGAAGAAGAGAAGAAGAAGAAGAAGAAGAAGAAGAAGAAGAAGAAGAAGAAGAAGAAGAAGAAGAAGAAGAGGAGGAAGAAGAAGAAGAAGAAGAGAAGGAGAAGAGGAGGAGGAGGAGGAGGTGGAGGAGGAGAAGGAGAAGGAGAAGAAGAAGGAGAAGGAGAAGAAGAAGAAGAAGAAGAAGAAGAAGAAGAAGAAGAAGAAAGGAAGAAGGAAGAAGAAGAAGAAGAAGAAGAAGAAACACGAAGAAGAAACACGAAGAAGAAGAAGAAGAAGAAGAAGAAGAAGAAGAAGAAGAAGAAGAAGAAGAAGAAGAAGAAGAAGAAGAAGAAGAAGAAGAAGAAGAAGAAGAAGAAGAAAGAAGAAGAAGAAGAAGAAGAAGAAGAAGAAGAAGAAGAAGAAGAAGAAGAAGAAGAAGAAGAAGAAAGAAGAAAGAAGAAGAAGAAGAAGAAGAAAGAAGAAGAAGAAGAAACACTTGTTGAGACCTAATAAGTGGTTTCTAGTTGTAACACCAGTCCTCTGAACAAAGAAGTCACTTTTGAGTACATAAGGAAAAATAACCACATGCTAAAAGGATAAGACATTCCTCTGACATCTTTACTGGGCCATCTCTTCCTCTAACACTTCAGAAGCTTAGAAATTTAAAGTATTCTTTTGTTAGCTGCAAGAACAAGATAAAGGAGAAATGCCCTTTCTCTTGAGATCGCAACTATGAAGTCACGTGGTTATGCAAAGTCTGCATTTGTGTGCAAAACACACACTGATCTTTTTTTAACTTTTAAGTTCAGGGGTTCAAGTACAGGTTTGTTCCAAAGGTAAACTTGTGTCCTGGGGATTTGTTGTACCGATTATTTCATCATCCAGGTATTAAGCCTAGTACCCATTAGTTATAGCTCCTGATCCTCTCCCTCCTCCCACCCTCCAGCCAGCACTGCGCCCCAGTGTGTGTTGTTCCCCTCTGTGTGTCCATGTGTTCTCATCATTCAGCTCCCACTTAGAAGTGAGAACATGCAGTATTTGGTTTTCTGTTCCTGGAAAAACACTTATACATTTATCTTTTTTTTTTTTTTTTTTGAGACAGAGGCTCGTTCTTATCACCCAGGCTGGAGTGCAGTGGCGCTATCTGGGCTCACTGCAATCTCTGCCTCCCATGTTCAAGTGATTCTCCTGTCTCAGCCTCCTGAGTAGCTGGGACTACAGGTGCCTGCCACCATGCTTGGCTAATTTTTTGCAATTTTAGTAGGGATGGGGTTTCACTGTGTTAGCCAGGATGGTCTCGATCTCTTGACCTCGTGATCTGCCCACCTCAGCCTCCCAAAGTGCTGGGATTACAGGCATGAGCCATGAGCCACCATGCCCAGCCTATCTTTTTTGTTTTTGTTTTTGTTTTTGTTTTTTTTTGAGACAGAGTCTCACTCTTGTTGCCCAGGCTGGAGTGCAATGGCGCTATCTGGGCTCACTGCAACCTCTGCCTCCCAGGTTCAAGAGATTGTCCTGTCTCAGCCTCCCGAGTAGCTGGGATTACAGGCGCCCGCTACCATTCCTGGCTAATTTTTGTATTTTTAATAGAGACAGGGTTTCACCGCGTTGGCCAGGTTGGTCTCAAACTCCTGACCTCAAGTGATCTGCCCGCCTCAGCCTCCCAAAGTGCTGGGATTGCAGATGTGAGCCACCACGCCTGGCCCACATTTATCTTTATTCTCCTTGCTTAGTTTTGTCAGTTAACTTGCAGAACTTAACGGATGCCTTTCTAAGACACAGAGACTCAGATATGTTTTTTGTTGTTGTTTTTTTTTTATTTGAGACGGAGTCTCGCTCTGTCGCCCAGGCTGGAGTGCAGTGGCCAGATCTCAGCTCACTGCAAGCTCCGCCTCCCGGGTTTACGCCATTCTCCTGCCTCAGCCTCCCGAGTAGCTGGGACTACAGGCGCCCGCCACCTCGCCCGGCTAGTTTTTGGGGTTTCACCGTGTTAGCCAGGATGGTCTCAATCTCCTGACCTCGTGATCCGCCCGTCTCGGCCTCCCAAAGTGCTGGGATTACAGGCTTGAGCCACCGTGCCTGGCTGAGATGTGTTTTATGTAACTTCAGTAACCTCGGTGCTACAGTAACGAGACATGCAGTGTCCTTTTGCTCTGCTTCAAGACAGCAGGGAAGGAGGTCGTAGGAAAAAGAATAAATGAAATTTGTTACAACTGAGAAACTACTTCTCATTAAGTTTCCCCATGCTGTCACCTTTATTTAAAATTTATTTTTAAAATTAATTTATCCTACTTCTTTTTGCTTTCTTCAAGTGCAGCAAGTAGACAATAGAAAAGTATTTTATGTCCAGGCGCGGTGGCTCACTCCTGTAATCCCAGCACTTTGGGAAACCGAGGTGGGTGGATCACCTGAGGATCCCCAGCCTGACCAACATGGAGAAACCCCGTCTTTACCAAAAATACAAAATTAACTGGGCATGGTGGCACATGTCTGTAAACCCAGCTACTCGGGAGGCTGAGGCAGGAGAATCGCTCGAACCTGGGAGGCAGAGGTTGCGGTGAGCCAAGATCGTGCCATTGCACTCCAGCCTGGGCAACAAGAGTGAAACTCCATCTAAAAAATAAGAAAACAAAAGAAAAGTACCTTCACGGTGACATTATATTTCTGTTACACAGTGATGATGGAGAATATCTCATTTATCTTCCAAATACCCCTGTGAGGTGGATATTACAGAGCTCCTTTGCAGAGGTGGTGAGATGTACCCATACCACACATCTCTTTGGACCCCTGGGCTCAAATGGTCTTCCCATCTCAGCTTCCTGAGTAGCTAGGGCTACTTGTGCATGCCCCTATGCCTGGCTAATTGAAAAAAAAAAATTATTGTAGAGATGAGGTCTCCAACATCTTTCTGTGGCAGAGCTGGGATTCAAAGCCTCATCTAGGCACCATTTTCCTTGTCCTCTGAGTCCCACAGCCCCCAGCCCGAAAGGTTACTCTCTAACCTCACAAATATTGTCTCCAGGTGGACTCGGCGTGCAGGTGATGGCAGAGGCTCACTCTTTCCCTTACAGAAGATGTTGTCCCTGTCCAAGCTGAGCCCTGCTCTGTCGTGTGTCTGGACTGTTAGCTAAGGTCCCGTCAGGTCTCCAGGCCCCGGAGGTCTTCTGGGAGAGGTCTTGCAACAGTTTCTTATTGCCTCCTTCTCAGACCATCCGGGCTACCACTGACTATTGCCGCCGCCACAAGATCCCCTTTCCCCACGTAGAAGAGGCTAAGCTGGATTTGTGGTCCAAGGCCCCCGCCAGCTGCTACATCCTGAAAGGAGAAACCGGACCAGTGGTGATGCATTTTCCCCTGTTCAACACAGATGCCTGTGGAGGTAGGTGCAGGGGAGAAGCAGGTTGAGAAGCCACCTATGTTAGTCTGTTCTCACACTGCTAATAAAGACATACCTGAGACTGGGTAGTTTACAAAGGAAGGTTTAGTTGACTCACAGTTCAGCATGGCTGGAGAGGCCTCAGGAAACTTACAATCATGGTGGAAAGCGAAGGGGAAGCAAGGCACCTTCTTCACAAGGCGGCAGGAAGGAGAAGTGAGTGCCAGCAGGGGAACTGCCAGATGCTTATAAAACCATCAGATCATTTGGGCGCGGTGGCTCACACCTGTAATCCCAGCACTTTGAGAGGCCGAGGCAGGTGGATCACAAGGTCAGGAGATCGAGACCATCCTGGCTAACACATTGAAACCCTGTCTCTACTGAAAATACAAAAAAAAAAAAAAAAAAAAAAATTGCTGGGCATGGTGGCGCGTGTCTGTAATCCCAGCTACTCAGGAGACTGAGGCAGGAGAATCACTTGAACCTGGGAGGAAGAGGTTGCAGTGAGCCGGGATCACGCTACTGCACTCCAGCCTGGCAACAGAGCGAGACTCCTTCTCAAACAAATAAATTAATACATACCATCAAATCTCGTGAGAACTCGCTCACTGTCACGAGAACAGCATGAAGGTAACCACTTCCATGCTTCAATTACCTCCCACGGCACTTGGGGATTATGGGAACTACAATTCAAGATGAGATTTGGGTGGGGACACAGCCAAACCATATCAACACCAGGCCAGGCTGAATGGATCTGCGCTGTGCCCTGGGGGACATCTCGTTATGCTCCAACATCTGATGGTCCAGTGAGTCATCCTGTCCACCCTCGGGCCTGGAGATGCCAGGCTGCCTCCCTCGGCCTTGCATGCCTCTGCATGTTGCTGCCTCTCTGCAGCATTCTTGTCCTACCTGAATATCCAACGCCTTCCACCTGGACATCCCACATTCCTCATCCAGTCTCAGGTGAGCAGCTGCCTGGAAGGCCTAGAATACAGGATAGGTGGTACTCCAGGGCCTGATTGTACCACTTCCCACAGTGGACTCCTTTTAGCTTGTCAATCATGTCTCCTGCGATGAGACTCCCATTAGGGATAAATTGTGTCTGTTTTCTTCCTTCATTTAACAAACACTTATTGGTTACCTACGCTGCATCAGCCGTAGTTCCAGGAGAGGCAGACTGGAGTAGTAAAGAAGACAGGAAGTGGGGGGCCAGGCGCAGTAGCTCACACCTGTAATCCCAGCACTTTGGGAGGCCAAGCAGGGGCAGATCACCTGAGGTCAAGAGTGCAAGGCCAGCTTGGCCAACACGGTGAAACCCCATCTCTACTAAAAAATACAAAAAATTCTCCAGGCGTGGTGATGCATGCCCATAATCCTAGCTACTTGGGAGGCTAAGGCAGGAGAATTACTTGAACCTAGGAGATGGAGGTTACAGTGACCCAAGATAGTGCCATTGCATTCCAGCCTGGGAGACAAGAGTGAGACTCTGTCTCAAAAGACTGGAAGGGGCATGGATCATAAAAATATAGATAAATCCATTACCTCATGTGTCAGTAAAACTTTATTTATAAAACCAAAGTGGTGGGCTGACTGGATTTGGTCTACAACTGTAGTTTGACAAGCCCTGATGTAAACAGACAAAATCTGCAGAATTAATTGTCCAAACTCACGATGCATTTTCTTCATTGGTTTGGTTATGCTTCAGATGATATTGAGGCATGGAGTGACACATACGACACATTCAAGCTCGCTGACACCTACACTCTAGATGTGGTGAGGCCACTCTTGGCATTAGCCAAGATGAACGTCAGGGAAAACAAGAAGAAGATCCTTAGAGAGATGAGGAACGCGGCCATGTAAGTGGGAGACCATAGTCACTCTGATGCCTATAACTCATTCTGTAAGTATCTGTTGGAGAACTTTCTCTGCAACAGGCAGGAGGGCTGAAGGGGTGAAAAAAGATAGGTAGTTTCTCCCCCACTTGAGCTTGTGTCTCAGTAGTGGACTGACCACGAACAGGGTCAGGAGTGAATGGTTTTCTGAAGAGTGAAGCAGGCTGTGTTTGTTTGCTAGGGTTGCTGTAACAAAATACCATTGGCTGGGTGGCTTCACTGAAATTGATGGTCTCATGGTGCTGGAGGCTGAAAGTGTGAATTCACAGTATCAGCAGTGCTGGTTCCTTCTGGGATCTGTGAGGGAGAATTTGTTCCATGCTTGTCTCTGTGTATATTAGTCCATTTTCACATGCTATAAAGAACTACCTGAGACTGGGTAATTGATGAAGAAAAGAGGTTTAATTGGCTCACTGTTCCAAAGGCTTAAGAGGAAGCATGACTGGAAGGCCTCAGGAAACTTACAATCGTGGTGGAAGGTGAAGAGGAAGCAAGCACATCTTTACCATGGCAGAGCAGGAGAGAGACAGAGCAAAGCAGGAAGTGCTACACACTTTTAAACAACCAAATCTCATGAGAACTCCCTCACTATCACCAGAACAGCAAGGGAGAAGTACACTCCCATCAATCACCTCTCACCAGGCCCCTCCCACAACAAGAGGGGATTACAATTTGAGATGAGATTTGGTTGAGGACACAGAGCCAAACCATAGCTCTGTGAAAGGAAAATGAAATCTCACGACCCCAATTCACTGTGCCAAAAGGAAAAACTTAAGCTGTGGCTGGGCACTGTGGCTCATGTCTATAATCCCAGCACTTTGGGGAGCCAAGGCAGGAGGATCACTTGAGCTCAGGAGTTCAAGATCAGCCTGGGGCAACATAGTGAGACCACATCTCTACAAATAATTTTAAAAATTAGCTGGCTGTGGTAGCACAGGCCTATAGTCTCAGCTACTCAAGAGGCTGAGGTGGGAGGATTGCCAGAGCCCAGGAGTTTGAGGCTGCAGTGAACTATGATCGTACCACCCCACTCCAGGCTGAGCAACAGAGCAAGACCTTGCCTCCAAAATAAAAATAAAAAAATAAAAAATAAAAAATTAAGCTGAAAGCTTAATTAAGCTGAGTCATGCAAGAAACTGTCTTTCCTTTTGTTCCTAGGCCACAGATGAAAGGCCACAGATATCTCCACAGATAGCTTACTCTATCGATATGGTTTGGCTCTGTGTCCCCACCCAAATCTCATCTCGAATTGTAATCCCCACGTGTCAAGAGAGGGACCTCGTGGGAGGTGATTGGATCTTGGGGGTGGCTTGCCTTATGCTTTTCTCATGAGAGTGAGGGGGTTGTCATGAGATCTGATGGTTTTTAAGTGGCAGTTTCCCCTGCTGTCTCTCTCTGTCTCTCTCATTCTCTCTCATCTCTCCTGCCACCCTGTGAAGAAGATGCCCTGCTTCCACCATGACTGTATTAGGTTGGTGCAAAAGTAATTGCAGTTTTGCAACTAAAAGTAATGGCAAAAACCGCAATTACTTTTACACCGACCTAATAAGTTTCCTGAGGCCTCCCCAGCCATGTGGAACTGTGAGTCAGTTAAACTTCTTTTGTTTATACATTACCCAGTCTCAGGTAGTGTCTTTATCACAGTGTGAGAATGGACTCATACAGTTCTAGAAGTCAGAAATCTGAAACGAGTGTTAAGGAGTAAAACCCGAAGTGTTAGCAGGGCCAACTTCTGTGGAGGCTCCACGGGGGAAGCTGTTCCTTGCCTTTTTCAGCTTCTAGAGGCCACCCACATTCCTTGGCTCATGGCCCCTCCTTCAACCTCTTGCTTGTCATCTCATCTCCTCCTTGCTCTGACCTCCTGCCTTGCTCTTATAAGGAAAGACCCATGTGATTCCACTGGACCCACCCAGATACCCAGGATCCTCTCCTCATCTCAGGATCCTTAGCTTAACCTCATTGGCAGAGTCCCTTGTGCCATGGAAAGTCACATACTGGCCAGGAGCAGTGGCTCACACCTGTAATCCCAGCACTTTGGGAGGCCAAGGCAGGCAGTTCGCTTGAGCTCAGGAGTTCAGACCAGCCTGGGCAACATGGCAAGACACCATCTCTACTAAAAGTACAAAAAAATAGCAAGGCATGGTGGTATATGCCTCTGGTCCCAGCTCCTTAGGAGGCTGAGGTGGGAGGATTGCTTAACCTTGGGTAGCGGAGGTTACAGTGAGCCCAGATCACACCACTGCACTCCAGCCTAGATGACAGAGTGAGACCTTGTCTCAAAAAAAAAAAAAAAAAAAAAAAAAAAAGTCACGTATTCATGGGCTCCAGGGATTAGGATAGGGACATCATTGGGAGCCATTATTCAGCCTGCCACAAAGACACAGGCAGGACCCCGATGACAGAAACCAGGGGAAGAGTTAGAATTTTATTTTGCATATAGTGGGAAGCTGTTGTTAAGTTTTGAGCAGGGGAGTAGCTTTATCTGAGTCACCTTTTCAAAGGCCCACCTGGCTCCAGTGTAGTTGGTCCCTAGACAAGATAATTAGCACCCTGAGGACCAGGTTGAGTCAGTGACCTCAGGGTTGCAAGGTAGAGGGAAGAGAAAGCCACTCTGGGCCTCTGGACCAGTTTGTGTTCCCCAGACAGTTTCCCCAAAAGCCCTGCCTGGCATGAGGAAGGTCGATTATTTGCTACTCATCTGTCTTCTAATGAGGGGTTGTATATTAGTTTGCTGGGGCTGCCATTAAAAAGTACCACAGAGGCTGGGTGTGGTGGCTCAAGCGTGTAATCCCAGCACTTTGGGAGGTGGAGGAGGGTGGATCACGAGGTCAGGAGTTCGAGACCAACCTGGCCAACATGGTGAAGAAGCCCTGCTCTACTAAAAATACAAAACTTAGCTGGGCGTGGTAGTGCGCGCCTGTAGTCCCAGTTACTTGGGAGGCTGAGGCAGGAGAATCGCTTGAACCCAGAAGGTGGAGGTTGCAGTGAGCCCAGATCGTGCCACTGCACTCCAGCCTGCTGACAGAGGGAGACTCCGTCTCAAAAAAGCACCACAGATCGGGTGACTTAAATAACAGACACTTATTGTTTCGCAGTTCTGGAGGCTGGAAGTCCAAGATCAAGGTGTGAGCAGGGGTGGTTTCTCCTGAGGCCTCTCTCCTTGGCTTGCAGATGGTGCCTCCCTGTGTCTACACATGATCTTCCTCTGTGCCTGTCCACTTCCCACCTTCTCACCTGTAGAACTCAGGGCTTATTTATGCTTATTTGTTGACTCTCTCTCCTCATAACAAGGTGTGCAGCAGTGTGGGGTCAGGAACCACATCACTTTGCCCCCCACAGTGTCCATTCTTTCATTCGTTGATTCCACGAACATTTCCTGGATGCCGACTAGATCCAGTCTGCCCAGGTCCTGCAGCCATGGCTGCATACAGGTCAGGTGAGGCTCTTGCTCTTGTAGAATGGTACCTCCTCCCAGGGGGCAACATGACATAAACAGGTAAACAAAGGAGTCAACAGGATGGCCATGGAGAGTAAGTGCCGTTGAGACGACCAAACCTGCGGTGTGCTGAGGAGTGAAGTGAAGGCTTTTTAGGAAAGGGGCTGGGGGTCTGGGAAGGCATCCCGAGGGAGAGACCTTTCACCTGGGGCTGAATACTGAGAAGGGGTGGCCATGAGGAAGTCTTGGGGAACAGAATTCTGTGCAAAGGGAAAGTAAATGCAAAGTATCTGGAGTGGGAAAGACCTTGATCTATGTCTTACCTGTGTCTATAACATTTTGTACTGATATAAAGGCATATCTGAGGCTGGGTAATTTATAAAGGAAAGAGGTTTATTTGGCTCATGGTTCTGCAGGCTGTGCAAGAAGCATGGCACCTGTATCTACTTCTGGTGAAGGCTTCAGGGAGCATCCAATCCTGGTGGAAGGGGAAGGGGAGATGGCATGTTACATGGCGAGAGAGAGAAGGGAGGAAAGTACCAGTTTCCTTTTAACAACCAGATCTCAAGTGAACTAATAGAGCAAGAACTCACTCATTACCGCAGGGAAGGCACCAACCCATTCATGAAGGATCCACCGCCATGATCCAAACATCTCCCTCTGGGCCCCACCTCCAACACTGGGGATCACATTTCAACGTGAGATTTGGAGGGAATGAATTTCCAAACTATATCAGTCTATTCAAGGAACAGGAAGAAAGCTGCTATTGCTGGATCAGGGTAGGGGAAGCGCGGAATGAAAGGTGATTGGAGAGATGGACAGAGATCAGATCTTGTGAATTCTGGCAGGTATCATGACATTTGATGTAGGCCAAAGAGTTCGCTCCTAGCCCAGCATCTGATACATGCTTAATAAGCATAGTGTTGGATACATAAACATTTACATGGTAAACATAGATCACAAGAGCTCCACAGGAGGAGGTGGCGGAGCTCCAGGTCTTCTCAGTTCATGAAAGAATGGATGAATGTCTTTCTCCTAAGTCATGTCTGACCTGTAGAGGCTTCCAGATCTTCTAATCTTATCCAATGTGCAACACTTCCTACAAAGCACAGTGGTAACTTCTAACTTTCCTTTCTCCCCAGGCTCTATTACCCGAAGCATTATGCCCAAAGTTGCTCCTTGGTGTAGATGAGCCTCAGCTTCCAGGGCAGTATGGGCCTGTTGGTCTACCAGGGCCCTGATGTCCACGTGGCCTTCCTGTTCTTCACTCCCTTCAGCCACACACTTCATGAGTTCACCTTGGCTATCCTAACAGGGCCAATCACCAGTGACCAGCTGGACTGTGATTTTGATAGCATCATTCAGAAGAAGGGGTCCAAGGAGCTGCAGGTGGTGAAATGTGTCCTGCAGGTCCCTTGGGAGATCCTGGAGCTGGAGCATGAGTCTCTGACAATCAGAAGTATCATGTCCAATGTCCGGATAGCCAAAATGAATGCGGCAGATCAGACCAATGCCTTTCACTGCTCCT